TTAAGATCAGTTATTAATAAAAGCCATATTTGTATAAGTGATAGAAATCAGCTAATTTACTGTAAAAAGATATCATCTAATTCAAAATAAATCCAAAGTATTGAACCGATTTCTGTGAAATTTGTTACAGATAAAGTTTGGAACTCGAGAAAGGACATAGGATAGTTTTTATACTAAAATCAGCAGGAAGTCACTATTCAAAAGCTATAGTATATTTATATTTCTCATTCCGTCTTTTATATTGATTTGAATTGAAACATTAGACAAGTATTTTTTCATTACTTACGAAAACAAGTTCTTTCGTCTATATATTGATTTGAAATATCTTGTGTTGCCATTATTATTTTGACTGAGTAATGACGAATAATAAGACCTTAAGTCTCACTAGCGCCATCTAGGGAGTGCAAAAATTAAAACCTTCAGTATACTTGGCATTAAAATTACTTAAAAAAAAGTATAAATTTCTATTATAATATCAAACGGCCAATCCCTACCACAAATACTTTGGACAACATGTTTTTTTAATTATTAAGGGTAAATGGTAATTATTGACCAAAATTTAAACACGTGATAGTACTCACGATAAAAAACAACTTTTCCAAATAAACTTTTTTTCGATACTCATTAGTTTTATTTTTATTACTACTTATAACAAAATATTATAATTGCGGGAGAGTAAAGCTTCGGCACAGCAGTCGGCTCGACTGGAGTGATACCACGGCCTCACAGAAAACTAGCGCGAAACAACCACAGCGTTGTGTTTTGCTGTGTGAGTGAGGTTACCGGAGGCACAAACCCTGCCCCTCACCCATTGATTTAACACTTAGAACGCCATGTCGGACAATGCTGACCGACGCTAGCGGAGGATTAGCCTTCATCAGTTTTTGTCGGCAGTCAAATGCTTAATGATTGGGGAGGGATCTTCCATCTTAATCATTGAATCTCCAAATCCTTAAGCCCAAAAAGGTCGGCAACTCTCTCGTAAGTCATCTGTTGTCGCGGATATCCATGGGTAGCGCTGATTGCTTACCATCAGGTAATCCGTCTGCTCGTTTGCCGACCTATATCATAAAAAACAAACCTCGTAGCCCGCTCAGCTGTTAGCGGCGAGGCCACCGCGACCGCGTTTGAACTTTACACAGTAATTTTGTTATAGTAATAAAAATAAAACTATTCAGTATAGAAAAACAGTTTCTTTAGGAAAGTTGTTTGTTATCATGAGTACAATCACGTTTTTAATTACCAGTCACCTTATACATATACCCTACATAAAAATTTATTTATACACTTAGGGCTGATATTTCAATGGTTAGATAAAAGTTACCTGGGGAATAATTATGATGCTGTCGCGTCAGAATGTTTGTATAAGACAGTGACAGCAACAATTTTATTCCTCAGATAACATTTATCTGACTATTGAAAAATCAGCCCTAAATACCTAGTTTTATTTATTCAATTAATAACCTTAAGTAAGGATACACAAAAATATTTACAATTCATTTTTAACAACAACTTTTTTTAAACTTATTTTAAGTATAATTTTATTTTTTATATTAGAATCCTATTCGACATTCGAAAATTTTTAATTAATACTATAATAGGTGTAGGCCGAAAATTCAAGTCAATTAAAAGACTTAGGGCTGATTTTTCAATAGTCAGATAAATGCTATCTGATGACTAAAATTGGGTAGTTTCCTAGGTCAAAAATAAATTAATTCGACGTTTCAATAAAATAAAATATTGACAAATAACTATACTTTCATTCATCGATCGATCGTTACACTACATTTTAGATATTTTTTAGCAAATTTTTAAAAAACAAATAAATTATTCGACTGAAAAATACTATGACGTCATAACTCAGTGTTTCATACAAATTTCATAGAAAAGTATCGTTTTTCACATTTAGGTAAAAGTATTGAATTTGACTAGCTGGAAACTACCGTATTGTTTCTGTCACTGTCTTATGCAAACTTTCTGACGCGACAGCATTATAGTTATTCCGCAGGTAACATTTATCTGACTATTGAAAAATTAGCCCTTAAAAATATATATTTTTGGTTTTCATCGCTGAGTATAGGAGGGTAAAAAATACTAAATAATTATATTATTTCTATTGTAAGTATAGAAAAGACAATAAAGTGACAGACAGACAATGGATACTTTCTAATAGTAACATATTGTTCAAGGTTTTGCAGATTTATTATGGAAACCGTATTAAAAACTGAATATTTAATGGCTCACCCATAAAACAAAAGGGATTTTGGTGCCATGCGTGAGTCAGTATTTTCACCACAGAACAGAAAATTAAGTAGAAGTGCCCCTACACTCTTTCAAAAGGAAAACCAGTGTCGCCAAAATCACACATTCGCAAATCAAATTGTCCATTACACACATAAAAAACAGCTATATAATTGGGTAAAAAGATGAAACGCAACTTTAGCAAATCATCTTTTAAATGTTGTTAAAAATTGAGTCTTATAACAATGAGCGAAAGTTGTTATCATTTCACATGTCACAATCAATAAAGGCGCCTATCGTGTAAAAAACTTAAATAAAACAATTTACAAACGGGTTCAGCCACTCAACGCTAGATGGCGCTGTAACAAATTCATTCTATTCAAAACGCTAACTTCTTTGAAATAGATGTCATATTTGTATGCACTTGTACCAATAGACATTTACTATTTTGCTACTCAGATAGGGCAGGGTATCCCAATATATCGATGTTTTTGTATTCGTGTGAGCAATATAATTTATCGACACGATATACCTACAAATGATCAGTAATGAAAAAGGTGCTAATAGAAAAAAAGAAAAATATTAACATATTTTTTGAAGATTTAATGTTTTTTGGAGATGGTCAAGTTATTATTAAAGATTTCGATTTTAACATATAAAAGCACTACGCGCTCCTACAAGTTTTATCTCCTTTCCATAAATAACGGAGACGAAAAAACAAAAAAAATGTTACAGTCGAATTGAGAGTCACTCTCCTTTTTGGAACTCTGATAAAAATCATGTACAACATCTATACTTATAATAAATCTGTAGAGGGGTCAATTCTGTACATTAAATATATTTTCAAAATAACTACCAGGGGGTGATTAGTGATCGATACTGATGCCAAAAATGCAATCAGTAAAAATTTTGTCTCTGTCTGTCTGTATGTTCTTTATAGAAACAAAAACTACTCGACGGATTTTAACAAAACTTGGTTGGTTTATTCTCTATACTCCTGGGCAGGTTATAGGATACTTTTCATCACGCTACAAATAATAGGAGCAGAGCAGTGAAGGAAAATGTTGGGAAAACGGGAGAAGTTACTCCCTTTTGTAAGTTTCAGTCGCGTGTGTAACCTTAATGGTTAAACTTACATAGAAATTATGTATGACGGAAATATTTTAAATAAAATTGTCTACATAAAATGTTTTACAGCATATGTCTATCTTTTATGGTTAACTCACAATAACACGTGTAACTCCTGATAGCTTAGCAATTCGGATAATAAGACATAGCGCCGTCGCAAGTGAACACTGAATCATGGTATAAGAATAATTTTTGTGTAGCGGTTGCCGTGCTCGACACGATGCGGTATAAAATATAATATAATATAGGTTTTATCAAATATTTGTAACTCTTACCTATTAGTTAGATCCGTGCCTTTCTATCTATGGACGGACGGACTACGGAGACTTAGTAAGTAATAGGGTATTTACCCATTGGAGATGTACCCATAAAAATGAGACGATAAATACCAAATTTTATGTATACTTAGATTTTGTTCTATTGCTATTTGCTGCTTTTTATCAACACAGCACGCGGGCGAAAACTAGTTATAAAATAAAAATGGTGATTAACCACCCGCACCTGCCACAGACGGATGCACGCTGTGTGTGGTTAAAACGTTGATGTGTCTATGCAATCTTAGTTAAACATTTATGAAATAAACACAAAAATTGTCAAAAATCAATTTTCTGAACGATGATGAAAAATTATCGATATGAACCTATTTTACGAATATGTCGCATCCCTAAATGAGTAGCGTCGAAACTACTAGAATGTATTGTATATAACGTCACATAACGAACAAGTAGATTTAAACTTAATTGTAATAAAAATAAGGCCCTTTATAGTTTGCATTGAAGTAATGAAATGTGATATTTACATTAAAATCAAATATATTTAAAATTAACAAAGGTTAATACTCAAAGATGATACGATACCCCACCACAAGACTCATCTTTTTTTCTGCTTACTTTTTTGCAGTTGAAAACCGCACAACAAGGCATAATTTCTAATATATTTCGTGTTTCTAAGAGACAACCATGACAACCAATCATGACAACGGATCGAACGATTCTGACAACAAATGTGCCAAAATGTTGTATATCTAGTCATGATGTTGGTTAGCGCGCGATGTCTGAACGGCACTTCCACTGTATTTTCTATTCCGTGATTTTCACCCTCCTAGACTTATTATAGTACAGTAACAGTATTGGGCTAACTATATACTACATTTAAGCCAAGAAAATCCTTCGACAAAATCGAGCAGTTTCTTTAGTCAAGAAGAAATTATATCAATTTATAAAGCCAAAATCTTTTTATGAGATCGCCAGGTAAGCTATCGGCGGCGGGCCGGATGCGATGGGCACCCGCAATATCAACAGGGTTGCAGACGTCTTGATGGTTATTAGAGATTTAGGGATAGGGTTTTGAGGATTGGGCCTCCGGTAACCTCACTCACGCGGCGAAACACAATGCTGTGGTTTTTTCACGCCGGTTTTCTGTGAGGCCGTGGTATCACTCTCTAGCTTGCAGACTCGTGTCTAAATTTTTACTTTAAACAGCTTACAAATATTAAACTATGTATATGGTAAAATTAACTAATGATTATTTTTTAGCAATTTCAATAACAGTGTTACCAGTTGAAATAATTTATTTTTGACTGAGGAAACTACCCGATTATAATATCATTGTAATCACACAAAAAAATATATTAATCAAAGTCACCTCTACGATCCTCACCTCTCACAGGCGCATAGGATATCATAAAAATCTATATTTAAAAGACATAATATATTATTACTATTATTATAAGAAAAGAGATACGATCAAACAATTTCGTACCTAATTCCTTTAATCAGAGAGTGACTATTCGGAATCGCTTTCTTTGTCAGATTTTTTCTTCCTTTTGCTTTTCGGATGCATCTTGTAGACGTGTTTCTGAAGATCTTTCAGTTTTAAGTATCTGAAAAATTTAATAAATAAATTATTAGGTACTGTAGTAGGGAGCCACTGGATGATGGTCAGTATCAACAGACCGAGCTGTGTTAGACATTGGGTGGATGTGTGGCGTAATGGACACCTTGAAGATGATGATTGATAACAACAACCGACCGAGTTAGAAGCTGTTGGGGTCTATGAGAGGGAGAGTAATCTTAGAGAGTATAGTCTTCTCCTACGGACTGACAGACTCTTACTGACTAACCCCTCCCCCCCGATCCTTCTCCTATACTAGGCTGCGGTCGCGGTGCCTCATTGCGCTTACCCCGCAACCCCGGCTGAACATCAGCCCTATAGGGCCCCGTCTGTAGTGGTCTATTGGCTCTTTGAGGCGCGCGCGGAACGTTACGCGCCGTACGCTTATTAACGGAAGACTATTTGAGGCTAGTCATTAAGGGAAGACTATTTGAGGTAGGGGGTGTCTTTTTCATTTATTATTTAGTTTTTTGGCTGATGATTTATTTATTTTATTTATTTATTTATTTTATTTAAATAGAACGACAGAAGCCAATTACACTATTTAAACATTTGTAAAACACATTAACCTATTAGAACACATAAGAGAAACATATAACAAATAATATAATAAATCCATTAAACATGCACTTTACTCAATTCAGTCACGCATTCCCCTCACAAAACTTCAAACACTCTGACAGTATCGTCTTCCAGTCATCCACAAACACATCGAGCTCAGTGTTTGAGTTCAGGAGAGCGTTAATAGCCGCTAATGACCGAGGAATAGGTGACTTGGAGTGAGCAATAGTTCGGCTGGTCGGAACCGCCAACAGCCGATGCCTTCTGCCACGACTGTAATTGTCTGGGACAAACACGTTGCATATCTCGTTATGCAGTTTGGGATCATCAATAAGCCCTCTAAGTATTTTAAATACTACAGTCATCTGATCGCGCGAACGTCGTACTTCAAGGGAGTTGAAATTTAAGCATCCCAGCAGAAAATTGGTTGGATACAAATAGGGGTAAAACCCGTACTCGTGCTTGTAAAGGTACCTAAGGAATGCTTTCTGTACTTTCTCCAAAATTAACACATAATGCTTCTCAAAAGGATTCCATACACAGGCACTAGACTCAAGTTTGCTACGAACCAATGCCCCAAATACAAGCTTGATAACGTGGGAGTTATGGAAGTCGCGACAGTTCCTCAAGACAAACCCAAGACGTCTGAACGACTCCTTAGCAGTAGATTTGATATGGTCATGGAAAGTGAGTTTTGGGTCAAATATGACTCCCAGGTCTTTTATGGAATCAGTTCGTGTGATTGTATCTCCATTCAGTTTGTATAGAAAGTTAACTGGGTGCCGCATTCGACCAAAAGACATCACGTAACATTTTGATTTATTGAAGTCCATTTTATTTTCTGTACTCCACTTATACACTGAATCAATGTCTGATTGCAAAGCTTGGCAATCGAGCTCAGATTTAATTTCATAAAAAAGCTTTAAGTCATCAGCATATAAAAGGGATCTTGCATTCATAATCACATCGGGGAGGTCATTAATCATTAAAATGAAAAGTAGAGGACCAACCACTGAACCTTGGCTTACGCCCGAGCGAGTGTGATAAGGAAGTGACTCGTATACGCCCAATCTGACAAATTGCTGTCGGTCCCGCAAATAGTCTGCAAGAAGCCGTAGAAGCCCTGGAGCAATTCCTATCGCACTGAGCTTTGATAGCAATACGTCATTGTTTACTCTGTCGAATGCTTTCTGGAAATCAAAGTAAAGAACGTCAACCTGGCGCCTGCCATCAAGACCAGCGGAGATGAAATTAACTAATGAAAGCAGGTTAGTACTGACGGATCTCTTTTCGCGGAAACCATGCTGTTCATTGCACAGATACTGTGCCACTTGTTTGTAAATGCCTCGATGTAAGACATTCTCAAACACTTTCGCAGGAGAGGACAGTATCGCAACTGGACGATATTCGTCGACTGACGATTTATTTGAAGACTTTGGTATGGGAGTCACGCGTGATATTTTCCATTGTGGAGGATAGACTCCGGATATTAAAGCCCGGTTAAAAATGTGATTTAGGGGCCGTATGAGAAATTCCTCTCCCTCTTTGAGGAACCAAGGAGGAATCCCATCCGGACCAACAGAACTGTTGGGTTTTAGCTTTTTTATTCCAGTACTTATATCGCTCTCAGCAAAGCTCAAAATGTTAATATAATTACTCATATTACTGTTTCGAGGATTGGCTATATCCTCGGTGTTTAGGGTTGGTACTTCCGTATGAAAGACGCTTGCGAAATATTCTGCGAAAGCCTCGGCAGCCGCTATGCCCCTATGCATTATGCCTTTGTGGGTAATATTACATTCGAACCCACCTTTCGATCTAAGGTTAGTGATATGCTGCCAGAATTCTTTGGGATTTTTCTTAATGTTCCTTTCAATGCGCCTAATATAGGTATTGTAAGCAGCCGATATACGCGACTTTAAGCTAGACCTGCATTCAGAAAATTGTCTATATATTAGATCACATTTACTCCTTTTCCAGGCAGAATGTAATTTTATTTTGTACTGAAGATCCCGAATAATGTCCGACGTAAACCAGGTGGGGTACCTTCGAGTTGCCCTTACATTCCGGCGTTTTTTAGGGATACAGGCGTCAAACAACCTATAAATGGTATCATAGAAAACCCGAGTGCTAGTGCGCACGTCGCTTAGTGATAAGACTGCATCCCATGATACCTCAGAGAGCAGTTCAAAAAGCAAACTCCGATTACATTTATTGAAGTTCCAGTCCCTACCACGGTCGACATTACTGGGTTCAAGCCTTTCACTTTTAACAGATGACTGTAGCTTTACCTGAATATCCAACGGTGGATGATACGCATCAGGTGGCACCAAGCCTTCGACTGTTGTTACCAAAACGTCATGCAGGCTTGCACTCTCCTGAACTAAAACAACATCCAACATTCCGCCGTGCACGTTCTCAACAACGTTTTTATCACATATATTAGAGAATGTAAGAAAATAACAATAATAATTACGGACATTTAAAGAAGCACTGTTTAAGTTTAAATCGCCTAAAATGATTACCGTTCCTTTTAAGTCGTTTATGAAACTTTCCACTTTGGTAAACCACGTCATGTAATCACTGTCTGTAGCACTTGGTTTTATGTACACAACGCACACATAAACTGAGGATCTACTACTACGGCACGTGAAACTCGCCCAAAGATCTTCACCACATTCTGTCTCAAGTTCACGTCGACGACGAAGGACTATGGGGGCGCGTGCCATAAGTAACACTCCTCCACAAGGTGTACCTCTGTCTCGCCTCAGTACGCTCCACTCGCCATTAATGAGTTCCGTATCTTCGACAGAGTTATCCAAAAATGTCTCTGTTGCAACTATTAAATCTTGTTCAGATATGTGCAGATTGTTGCGCCACAACTGAAGTTTTGATTTAATTCCACGAACATTCTGGTATAAATAATTTATGGTTGTGGTTCTGGTGCTGCTGAGAAAAGGTGCAGCAGGGCCAGTCAAAGTACCAACACTATGCTGCCTTGTCACTCTGATTAAGTTGTCCATGAAAGGGCTGTGAGACAGCAGCTACCCTCTGGCTGTTTGACTGTACGGAAGATGGTTTTCTATAGTTAATCCATACCTTAATTCTTGCGTTCACTGGCCACACGTCTGCGGAATAACAGCGATCAAAGTGAGCAGCGGGAACGCCAACTTTAAAAGACTTGTAGTTTCCTTTCGGAGTAAGTTCATCAATCGTACAAGAGTCGCCATCACATAAAGTAAGGAGGTAGTCTCTAATTTCATCGGCTGTGGACTCCATGTTCCATACGTGCAGGTACCTACGCGCTTCCACTGCCCTTAGCGATGTCACGTTAGGGCCAGCGGCTCCTTGAATTGATACTGGGCGGCGATTTTTAGGTTTCTTTGATACTTGGACCCATTCCTGGATGTTCGATGTTTGAGAAATAGAAGAGGTAGTCTGCGATACCATTTCAATCGGCGTAATATGGACGGTGTTAGAACTACTTAAGCTGGCACAAGGAGGGGCTGGCGCATCGAGAGGCTCAGACGTGACGACCTGCTCAGCAAAGCTTGCAGGCGCCAGTGGCGCAGTGTCAGAACGCTTTTCCAGACTATGTAGTCTATTGCTCAGTTCCATGATGGTGTGCTGCATATTAGAATTTTGAGTCTTCAAATTCTCTAAAGCTAATTTGACCTTCATGTGCTCAGTGACGACACTCCCCATCTGAATTTTTACGGCATTCACGGTGTCGATTGCGCACTGTAATTCCAGTTTCACGGTACGAAGTTCTTCATTCATTAATATGGCTATACTGTCATTAATTTTTAACACCATACCACTCAACTGGTCCTGCAGTACCTCCTGTACAACATTACGGATGTCATCAGTTGTTAACAGGTTAATGGGATTTGGAGGGGAGTTCAAAGCCTGTCTTTTAGCGCCTCTCACGGTAACATTGGTATTGAAGCGAATAGGGGTATTATCATCCCTAGGTACTTTAGGGGCTTTGCTTGAGCAGGACGGGCAACTCCATGCTTGGGAGGGAATGAGCTCCTTATCATTGTTAGCTAAACAGGCCAGGTGAAATGATTTTCCACAGATCGCGCAGTTACGATAATTTCCATCATCCATATCATCATTACAACAACCCCAAAGGATTATTTTATGAGCCGATGAAGACATTACCAATCTTGTTATGCTAAACACTAGCGAAGAAAGCAAACTGTGTGCATCAACTGTACGCTCAGTGACACCGTGCGACACAGAACTCGGTCCCTTCCAACTAGGAGACACAGAGCATCACCGTGCACAGTGGGCGGAGCGACTGCGCTACGCGATCGCGTCCGACACAGAGCGACACAGAAGGCGACTCTTTCCAACTGGTTGACACTGTGCTTTTCTTTGAGTTCGTTATTAGAAAATTACGATACAAAAATGTTTATAACTCGAGAACCGTTTATTATTTCTAAGTTACGTTTTCACTGATGCAGAGAACACTTGTCGCGGAACGCCACAATATATTCTACTAAAACGTTTCTTTCGATTTTGCACTATTCTCGAATTTAAAACACGGAGGATGATGATGACTTTATCAAGGTTGCAGGGAGCTAGATATGAGGCAGTGGACGTAGAATAAGGGCGAAATGCCAACATCTCATTGGGGGTTAACTGGCCACTTAAGGCACTATAATAGTGGCGTGAAAAACATAGGTAGATTATGTTTTTGTTATTCTAATAGGACTTAGGGAGCTGGATCTACGCAGCTTCTAACCAACTGACCTGGAAATCACTGGGGTGGAGGGAGGCTGAAGTCAGGCAGTGATTACGAAACATTTTTTTTTTTTGTATTTTTTGTAAATTAAATAATAATTCCTTTTTTGCTTTAATTTTGGGCCAGGACTGGCCAGGAGTAACAAATTTTTGTCATTAGACATTGGTAAAACAATGGAGTTGCGAGTTTGCTGTTGATCATTTGGTGATTATGGATTTATGGATTGGGGGCATTCGGGGATGGAGTGGATTCACCTGGCACCTGGCCTTCGGTGACCTCACTCACACGGCGAAACACAACGCTGTGGTTGTAACACGCCGGTTTTCTTTCAGATCACTCGGGTCGAGCCGACCCATTCGTTTCGCCGTGTGAGTGAGGTAATCGGATGCCCAATCATTCCTCTCTCCTAATCCCCAATCTGCAAATGGTCGGCAACGCACTCGTATTTGCTCTTTTGTTGCGGGTGTCCTTGGGCGGCGCTGAATGCTTACACGTAAACCGAATATTTAAAAACAAACACTTACTTGGAAGAGCAAAGTTTGCATGGGAACTTGAAGTCCTCAGGGTTGCCGTGTAGCCGCTGCTCGTGCCTGTCCCTGATGGACTCCGTGATGAAGTTGCGATGGCATACAGAGCACTGGTAGGGCTTCGATGTGTTGTGCGACTGTAGAAGAAGATTTTCTACTTTAATAATAATGGTTTAAGGTAGAATTTCATATTTTAGTATGGCGACGATAAAGAACTTGCACATCGTGGTGGAGGTTAAGGCACCGAATTCTCAAACATGAGCGTGCAAGTTCGAAACCTGGCAAGTACCAATGTGACTTTTTCCCAGTTATATGTACTTTCTATGATTATATAGACACCACTGCCAAACGGTGAAGAAAAACATCTTGAGGAAACCTGGACTTTATAACTACTAATGATATGTTTGGAATTGCCAATCCGCCTTGTGCAAGCGTGGTGGTTAATGCTCCAACCTTCTCCGTGTGGGAAGAGGGCTTTGCTCAGCAGTGGACACTTATAGGCTGATGACTTTTGATTCTAAAATAATGGAAAATTTTTGTATCAGCGTTGCACCCGTGCTAAGCCGGGGCAAGTAATCTATCTATACTAATATTATAAAGAGGTAAAATCTGTAAGTTTGTATGTAGAGGGTAATCTTTGGAACAGCTGGTCGGATTGCCAAAATTCTTTCACTGATAGATAGCTATAATGTTCCTGAGTGCTATAGGGTATAAAACATCACGCTACGATTAAATGGAGCCGAGCGAGAATAGCTAGTACATCTATATGAAATTAAATATATTTTTAAGGGCAGATTTTTCAGTAGTCATATAAATGTTATCTGAGGAATAAAATTGTTGCTGTCACTGTCTTATACAAACATTCTGACGCGACAGCATCATAATTATTTCCCAGGTAACTTTAATCTAACCATTGAAAACTCAGTCCTAAATCATATTATAAACTAATACTTGACTGTCCCATCTGATGGTAAGCAGTGATGCAATCCAGATAACTTACCACTTTGACGTGCCTCTTCAAGCTGGAATTTGTTCCGAAGCTTGTATTACATATATCACATGTAAACGGACGCTCATTCCTGTGCGTCCTTTCGTGAACCTGGAAATAAAGACTTCTTAAAGAGCTTCTAAAAAGAGCAGACGGATTACCTGATGGTAAGCAATCGGCGCCACCCATGGACACCCGCAACACCAAAGAAGTAACGAGTGAGAAGGGATAGGGGAAGGGGCGGGATTGGGCCTCCGGTAACCTCACCCCACACGGCAAAACGCAACGTTGTGGTTGTTTCACGCCGGTATTCTGTGAGGCCGTGGTATCACTCCGGTCGAGCCGACCCATTCGTGCCGAAGCATGGCTCTCCCACACTTAAATTTATTTGCTTAAGGCGTATAGTACCCTCAATAACCTCCTCACGCCCCAGCCACCGCAACAGGCGGCACTACGGGCGTCGGGGATCAAGGGACGATCTCCGGCCACCGTAAGCGCGGGCCTGCGGTCGGCGAGTAAGGGCAGCTCGCCGCCTGACCAGAACCAGACCCGAGCGTACGGAGCGTAGCGTTCCGCGCGCGCCTCAAAGAGCCAATAGACCACCACAGACGGGGCCCTATAGGGCTGATGTTCAGCCGGGGTTGCGGGGTAAACGGAATGGCGTGAAACAACCACAGCGTTGTGTTTCGCCGTGTGAGTGAGGATACCGGAGGCCCAATCCCCCCATCTCTCTCCAATCGTGAAATCTTCGAAACCCTAATCCCCAAAAGGCCATCGAACGCACTCGTAACTGATCTGATGTTGTGGGTGTGCATGGGCGGCGATGATTGCTTACCATCAGGTCATCCTTTGCCGACTCATAACTTAAGAAAATGAACCTTCTTACTAAATATAATAAATATGAATTTATGCATTCTCTCTGTCGAGTAAGGACTGAACGGATTAGAATGAACTTTGGCACAGATTATAGTCTTGAATAATACCATTTAGGCTATCACATTAATACGCGCGAAATGAGTGGAAAATCGATAGAATTCTTTACCTGTAAGCTGTAGGATTCGAAGAATCCTTTGCCGCAGTAGGTGCACCTGAAGGTGGCTCCACGCAGCACTCGCTCGTGAGTCTTCATGTGCATCTTCAGAAGCGCCTGGGAACCAAACATCTTGGGACATTCAGTGCAACCGTGCGTCTTTTCCTGAAAAAGAGAAAAAATAAAAATTAAATAATAATATTAATAAATGTAATAATGGAAGTCGTGGAGATATATTTTTCCGTTCTCTCTTCCTCTCTCTCTCTCTCTCTCTCTCTCTCTCTCTCTCTCTCTCTCTCTCTCTCTCTCTCTCTCTCTCTCTCTCTCTCTCTATCTCTCTCTATCTCTCTCTATCTCTCTCTATCTCTCTCTTACTCCTAGCATGAGGCGAGAGGTAGTCTCAGAATCATACTGGCTAAAAACCACCCTGTTTCTTGTACTCCAACCCCAGATCGTACTGACATGGAGGTTCAGCCAAGGTACAAGAACAATACCGGAGGCCCAATCACATTTCTGCCCAATCCCATTCCTTCTCAATCCTTAAATATCCGAAACTCTTATCGCCGAAAGGTCAGCATCGCGCTCATTATTCCTCCGTTTTTGCGGGTGTCCATGGGCGGCGCCGATTGCTTACCATTAGGTGAACCGTCTGCTCGTAAAAATATCCTTAACCAAGGGTATTGCCAACAGAAGGCTGTGTATTCTCTTCTCGAAGACTAACAGACTACTTGAAAAAACTTACCAAATGGGTATCCGAGTGCTTGGCCAGAGAGTGGGAGTACTTGAACCTCTTTGGACACTCCGAACATTGGAACCCAAGCCCTGAGTCAGCGGAGTGAGTCACCATGTGGGCCCGAAGAGCCGTCCAGCTGGAAATGGGCTTGTGGCATATTCTACACTCTCTTATCCGCGTTGGGTGGGTTCTGAAAATAAATTTAAAAAAGAACTTCATCCTACTAATATTATCAAAACAAAGTCGCTTTCTCTGTCCCTATATCCATGTGTATGTATGCTTAAATCGTTAAAACTGCGCTACTGATTTTGATGCGAATTTGAATAGATAGAGTGATTGAAAAGGAAGTTTTATACCTATGTATATTTACATCGATTAAATAGTGGAGAAATGTGTGCGAAGCCGGAGCGAGTTGCTAGTAAAATTATAAACTCTAACACGTAAAAACGTTTGAACGAATCCGAATGAGCATAGAGAGTATTATGTAAGGTAAAGGTATATGTATAGAATATTGTCTGGAATGCCACATAAGATTTTTACTCTAGTACTATGGACGAAGCCGCTGGCAGAAGCTTGTTAAGAAATAATATAGTAATATACGGCCAGGTCGCTTCCTATTGGCAGATTCTTAGGTCCCCTATATGAAACAGTTGACAAAATGTAAAAATGGTGTATATGTAAAAATGGTGTGTCGTGGTGGCCCGGAGGTTAAGGAGCCCGCTTCTCATGCATGAGGGTGTGGGTTCGAAGCCTGGCAAGTACCAATGTGACTTTTTCCGAGTAATATGTACTTTCTATGATTATTTAGACACCACTGACAAACGGTGAAGGTAAACATCGTGAGGAAACCTGGACTTATAATTTCTAATTATAAGTTTGAAATCGCCAACCCGCATTGAGCAAGCGTGGTGATTAACGCTCTAACCTTCTCCGTGTGAGAAGAGGCCTTTGCTCAGCAGTGGGCACTTATAGGCTGATGATGAAAAATGGAAAAATAAACTTAAAAAGTCAATAGATATTGTTGGGCTAAAATTGATAAGACATATTTCTTAATGAGGCTACAAATTACATTTTCCGCAAACTTATATTAAAACTAAACTATTTTAGCTGGCATTATCAATCAACTTTGGGTGTCCAGAAAATCCATAAGTCGGCAAAAAAAAATCAACAAATGATTTCTCCTATCTAGGGGGGGGGGGAGGTGAGAGAGTGTCTTACTGACTAAAAACCAGTTCCGTCTCCTGCTTCAGGACGAAACTACTGCGAAACGTAAATGCTCTGGACCTGTGCGAAGAACGCTTGGAGTATCTCCTACAGCGGCGGCTAGGCCGTGAGGAGGGTATTTTGAGGAAATATGGAAGCCGTCTTCTCTTTCTATGAAGCAGTGATGCTCGTAAAGGAGGCGAAGCGCGTGAGGGAGCTATCCTCCTTACGCCCCAGTCACCGCAGTAGGCAACACTCCAGGCATCTGGGATCTTCTCAGGGAAGTGATCGGCGGAGGCGACCTCTCGCGCCCGGCCTTAATCGAGGCCATGGTGCAGCGTGAGAGGCACTGGGAAGCTATCTCCTCCTTCTGCGAAGCAGTAATGCTCAAAAAGGAGGAGGCGGAGCGCGTGAGGGAACTATCCTCCTCGCGCCCCAGCCGCCGCAGAAGACGACACTCCGGTCAGGTCGTCGGGGATCGAGCGACGATCTCTGAGCACCGTTAACGTGAGTCTGCGGATGGCAATCAAGGGCAGCTCGCTGCCCGACCAGAACCAGACGCGAGCGTACGGCGCGTAGCGATCCGCGCGCGCCTCAAAGAGCCAATAGACCACCATTGGTTGTGGGGCAAGCGCAATAAGGTACCGCGGTTTGATTCTGCAGCAGGAGAAGAAACGCGGTGTTTTTAGTTTTTAGTCAGTGAAAGTCTGATGACTTTTATAACGTTTTTTTTCATACCTTCTAAACCTAAACCTTCTTCGTTTGTCCAGGAATATTTCAACACCACAAAAGCCATGTCGAACAAACAGCTATCTATGTTTATTTATAAGAAAATAAGACAAGGGTTACCTAAGAGCTGTATTTTTTTTTTTATGGAATAGGAGGCAAGCGAGCAGACGGATCACCTGATGGTAAGCGATCGGCGTCGTCCATGGACACCTGCAACACCAGAGGAGTCACAGGTGCGTTGCCAGCTTTTTAAGAAGGTGTACGCTCGTTTCTTCAAGGTTTGAAGGTCGTATCGGTTCGGGAATACCGCCGCCGGAAAATCATTCCAAAGCTTTGCTGTGCGGGGCATTTATCAACTATCCTTAATCTGGTATTCAGGTAATAAAACAAACAAGAAAAACTCACCGTTGCCGATGATTCTTCAAACTTCCTTTCGCACTAAACACTTTATCACAATCTTTACACGGATACACTTTTCCATCAACACTCGTTTCATCTTTAACCTCTTTAGAGTTCATCCTCTCAATAACCCTAGCCTCTTTCCTCTCAAACCGTCTCTGTTCCTTCACTTTGGCTATTTCCAGTCTCCGGATGTTTGTTAAGCCAAATGTGTGCCAATTGTGGTGAATTATGAAGCGTTTTGGGTGTTTAAAGAGTAGTGAACAGTGCGGACACTCAAATACACCTTCCGGTTTTATTCCTGGAAAAAGGTAAAATATGTTGTGAGCAAGGAGACTTTATATATATGTTTCGCTTAAAAGGAGTATGGTATCTTTACTGTGTGTAATACGTAATATCAACAGAAGCAATAACAGTTTTAAACTTTTAATTCAGCAAATGTCACTGTTATCAAGTCTATTATCTAACTAATGTGTCTCGAATTACCACAATTGATAGATTTGTTTTGATCTAAAGCAAAGTCTGATATGTTCAAAAACTATACCATCACAACTTTTTCATGAATGACTACGCAGAGATGCACCTCATTTACCCAAATTTGTGCAAGTGAGAATTTGTCCTCCTGAGTTGGTACATTTTCAAAAACTGACTCAAATAGGCAGTCATTTAGTATTACTTAAAATGCAAGGCATTTTTAAAATCAAAACCAAAGTCAAAAATATTTATTCCAACTAAATAATATACAGGCACTTTTGAAACAAAGTCTTAGTTTTAATATTTATATGATATAATAATTACCATTCTTATAAGCCGCAATGGCTTCAGCAACACTAGTTTCCGCTTCAATGATCCTGTAATTCATATTATCATCCCTCTGGAATCCGTTAACATCTTTCAAGAATGGAGAAAAGCATTCGGAATCCGCCCAACTGGCTTTCTCAACTTTAATAACGATACTATTGTCCGTATTCACCTCTTCATCTTCAGCTATAAAGTGTTGCGTTATAGCTATAGGTTTTACATCCTCTTCTTCAGATTGTGGTTCGTTATCAGACTCATCTTTGTCTCCGTTGTCATCATTATCTCCAACTGGAGTTTCAATAACGTTATTTGGCTTAGTTTTTGAGAAGTCTGTAGGTGTCATCTGTAACGGATCTGATTGTGTTTGTGTGACTGTTTGGCTGTGCATTTCTGTGGCTGGTTTAGAGGATTTTGGTGCTTTTTCTATTACCGTTGGTTGCGGTAACTCGGTTCTAGTGCTGGTCGGTTTACTTGGAGCACTTGGTGCTTCTTTGGGTTTATTAGATGAATTGATAAGTATGTTTTCAATTAATCTAACAGTGTTTTCGATGTTTTTCTTTCTTGTACTATCCAATTGTATTTTTTCTGGTGTTTTTAAGCTTAGATCTAGGTTGTGGTGGCCATCTTGGTACATGTTGTTAAGTCCATACCCATCATCAGGAACATTTTGCTTAGTGTAGGACTTATTTGGTATCTGAGGTATGTTCAGAGGCATTTTGCGCAAGTTGTGTTCTTTATGGCTATCTGGCCTCATTGTTTCGTTCTCTCTTCTCGCTTCTGCTCGTTTCTCGTAAGCGTAATTCACCATGTTAGCGCTATGCTCATTCTGCATATTGAAGTTCATAGGAAACATACCGTTTGGGAAGGGCAAATCGTTGACAGTAGGCGAACTTTGGTTCATATAAGAATGCTGGAAGCCCAACTGTTGATAGTTGGGATACTGACCCATTTGGGGCGGCATACCCAATGTAGATTGGTTGTAGTGTGCATACTCTGGTAGATTAAAGTGCCCGCTAGGCGGCTGGCCTGCGTGGTGAGCCATTTTACTTAAATGATTAATATTATGAGCGAGATTCATATGACCACTCATCGGAGTCATGTTCACGGGCGCTCCCATATTTATCGGCGTCTCGTTAGGCCCGTAAGGCCCTGTATTGTGCAACATGATTGCTGTTATACAAAAATTTGTACACTTTCACGTTTTACCGTTACATTTTAACATCGAAAACACTAAACAAATAAAGCTAATGTTAGCCATTTTGCAGTGTTGCCAGAGGCCGATAGTCAAAAGTTACACGAGACAGATCAAAAAGTAACATTTTGTCAGAAAAAGTAACATTGCCTTTTTTTTTGTGGAAACCGACAAAATACGTAAATAATAGTATGTAATGTAAATAATAATAATGGTATGAAAGATGGAAAAATACACACGAGTGAATGAATAAGTAGATTTAAGATTTGACAAACAATCGTATTGGTTGGTCAGTCCAGTCTGTCCAACAACACCATGTAGTTTTCTATCAAGCGTGCCAAAATGACTTAAAATTATATTTATAAGTGCGTTCCGATACACGATTTTCTTCGAAATACTCAAAAGTAACATAAAAGTAACATTGAGTGTGGTGTAACATGGAAGTAACATTGGAGGGCCAAAAGTAACGTAAAATGTTACAAAAGTAACATTCTGGCAACGCTGCCATTTTGTCTTTTTGACATTTCGTTGTCCACCCATTTACCGATAATTCGACAATTTGTGGCACTGAGCTGCTATGGCAACATTTAGCTGAAAACCGTATTTTTTTGTTATTGGACAAATATTTAGGACTTCGGAAAAATATATTTTTAATAATTATTTGAAAAGTCATAGCCAAATACGTGTATAATCAATGGACAAAGACGTTTCACAGTGCAATTATTTCATGATTACAGTGCAATTATTTATAAACATCCAAACTATATACGGTTTATGGGTAGTCTGTGGTAATGGTAAAAAAAAGATAACTGCTAAATGTCTGTCAAATTAATATAAACGTTAAAGCAATTTGAACTTAATACCATTAACATAAACACGTTTTTCAAAAAACATATCATAATTTTCTTCGTATTAAACCATTTTGCACTTTATGTGTATGTGATAACGTGGTATTCACTGCAACAATCGAAACGTTTCTGTCATTTTGAAACAGTGACGTAACAATAATTACTGTTTCTCGCTCATTCATCCATTATTTATTTCCGGTCGTAGTACGGCGATGGTTGTGTTTATCGAATCTCAGTTTAAATTATAAATAGCACAATTTTAAACAGAATTAGTGTATTATTCAAAGAGAAACTGCAACTATGGCGCTGGGAGCCTACGCTGAAGAATATTTTCGATCCATGAATCCCATAGCTTCGAAAATCCACGAAGATATTGTTGATGCAAAAAATTCTTACGAAAATATATGGGAAACACTAACGGAAAAAGAAAAGGTATTTTTAATACTTCCTTAACACTTCAATGCCTCGATAATAAACAGTTTAGTTGAGTAATATGTACGGAAAACCATCAGTAATACTGCATTTTAAAATTAGACGCATAGGTTGATCCCTTGGAGTGATTCATTCTTATTTCGTGCGATGCGCCCAGATAATTGCCCTCTTCATGTTCATATTTATTCTCTGGACATTATTTAATTGTTGGTTTATCAAATCTTGCCACTTGCCAGTATTAATTAAGTGAAACTCTTTGCGCGTGTAAAAAAAATGCATTCTTTAAGTGAAAATGTATGATTAATTATTTCAGATTTTAGACTAATAACATAAATAAAATCAATCGTTATTGCACTTTTACGATCAATTATAAATGAAATCAAATAGAATTCAGTATTTATTACTGGTATAATATTTATGTGATGGACTGCAATTTATTTACTTACCTTTCTTAAAAATATTAGTGCAAGCAGGCATTATTTTTATTGCTAGTTTACACATATTATTTATCTTTTATGAAAGTAATATGAGTATTAATAATTGAGAATATTTTCTGTTTAAGTTCTTACCATACAATTTTTTATTGTAATTCTTATAAAAAACTAGGCAAATGAAAACATTTCTTAACCGGACATCAAATTGTCTATTGGTTTTAGTAATTTACTAAGTAAAAGTTGTCTAGAAATTGTGTGTAAAGTGTATACAATCAAGTATTTTCTTAAATACATTTTAACTAAGAAACTAAATTTAAAAAATATTTTTGTATGTATTTATATACTCTTCTATCATATAAAAGGACATTACTAAGGTTGTTTACCTTTAGATAACCATTTAAACCAATAGACCATAGCACAATTCAAATTTGATAATACTGAATTTTAGTTACTTGAAGTCATGGTGCAATTACAGTACAAGTCCTAAATACAGTGTACAGTCCATGACATTTAAAAAAAAACTATGAATCAAATCAAATCAAAATCATTTATTCCAACTAAACCATAAATAGGTACTTTTGAAACATCAAAATAGAATAGTAGTCTGTCAGTCTGTTCGTCAGTGAAGCTAGGTGCTTGTTCCAAATTGTAGTTTAGAATGGAGAAGAACGAGCAAGAAATTCCATCATTACTCTTCTAACAACAAATATTTGTTTTACAATTCACCAATAATACATTTTTTATACATTACTGTACCCCTAATGAATTGATGATAAATGTCATCATCATCATCATCAGCTATAGGTTAGTGCCAACTGTTGAGCAAAGGCCTCTTCTCACAGAGAGAAGGTTTGATTGGCTATTTCAATCTTCTAGTTAGGAATCATAAATCCAGGTTTCCTCACAATGTATTGTCGATAACAAATGTCTAATTAGAAATTATAAGTCCAGGTTTCCTCACGATGTTTTCCTTCACCGTTTGTCAGTGGCGTTTAAATAATCTTCGAATGTACATATGACTCGGAAAAAGTTACATTGGTAATTGTTAAGTTAGCACCCGCACCCTCACCATAACCTCCGGGCCACCACAACAATGATTAATGTAATCTATACTTACTTTAGTTGTAGTTGATTTTATTTATTTTTGTATCATTAACACATTTACAGGGGAGCTATTTTTTTGTAGACTGCTAGCTAGTGCCTATGAGTTCTTTTCAAGTCAAAGTTAATAAACCTTGCAGAACATATGGGTCCTTTTATGCCTCACAAAATTGTTTGTCACAAATTGCTTCATACTTTACACTTACAGTGCCATTGAGGCCCTTTCAACCATTTTTTTATGTAATAGGTCGGCAAACGAGCAGTCGGGTTACCTGATGGTAAGCAATCAGCGCCGCCCATGGTCACCCGCAACGGAGGAGTTACGAGTGCGTTGCCGACCTTTAAGGAATTAGGGTTTTGGACATTTAGGGATTGGCGAGGGATCGGGGGAGGGGAAAGATTAAGCCTCCGCTAAGAGGTTACCGGAGGCCCAATCCTTGAATGAGAACTCACACGGCGAAACACAACGCTGTGGTTGTTTCACGCCGGTTTTCTGTATCACTCCATGGGTCGAGCCGACCCATTCGTGCCAGACTTAGATTTGTAAGAGTTTTTTATCACATTTGTCTCTGTTGTACTTATAAGAATGTTAACGTGGTCGTTTCCCGCAAATAGTTACAGAACGCGACTTTGACTCCCGCACCAGCGAGAAGCCACGCCTGTGGTTTGTTCGACCTCATAACGCAGTGAACATGTTAATACAACAAACATTAAGTTTTCTCTATAATCTGGAGACATGACATTTTTTTTTTATGTAATAGGTCGGCAAACGAGTAGACGGATTACCTGATGGTAAGCAATCATCGCCGGCCATGGACACCCGAAACGGAGGAGTTACGAGTGCGTTGCCGGCCTTTTAGGAATAAAAGTTTCGGATATTTAAGGATTGGAAAGGGATGGGTGAGAAGGGGAGTATAGGGCCTCCGGTAACCTCACTCACACGGCGAAACACAAGGCTGTGGTTTTTTACTTATAATCATTATTTTTTATTTCAGACTGAAATTATAAACGAATCTCTGATAAAACCTGACATTAGTCTGAAGTACGCCCTCCTAGACACCCTAGACTTTGATATAAACGACCCACCTGTCCGTAAAGATGACTTAATGTCATTCTTCGGTCGAGAACATGGACAAAAACTTATTCAAGATGAGCACGTTTCATATAGAGATGAACACAGTAGTCCGTTCCTTTACCAAACGAAGAGCCAATTAAATCTGTGTATTCTAAGTGACTGCAGAGCTCCGAAGGATGTCAAACCTACATCCCCACCTCCTATCATGTCCGAGCTAGCTCTATCACACTCCAAAGTGGTATCCGAGTTGAAGAATGCTTTGAAGTCCCATGATGTCCTCCGGAGTACTTATAAGGAGGGTTCGGAGAGGGAAGTGACTTCTCCAGGCTTCATCAGCAAGTTTATTGGCAATTTCAAGTGTAAGGATGAGGAACGAGAGTGCCTTGTGTCCGTCGGCCCTCAAACTCAAATTGTAGCTTCCTCTGAGAATTTCTTCAGGACAAATTTCAAGAGTCCGCAGCCTGAAAATAAGTATGAAAAGGATTATAGAAGCAGTGTTGTGAAGTCAAGTAGCGGTGAGTTTTTATTTTTTTCAATATTTGTAGTGTTGAAATTACTTTGCTTTTTTAATAAAACCCCTATACCTACTAGGAATTTCGCTTGTGTCGTAAGTCCGTTTACAAACTTACAATTTCACATACAAACCCGAAACAACAATTTGTGGATAACACAAAGCGTTCCTTCGTGCGGGAATCGAATCTGCGACACGTTGCATGGCAGCCAGTTGCCCAGCCACCGCGCTAACCGTGCATTCAATATATGTATGTATGTAATATTATTTTATTGAACCCGTGCGAATGCCGGGACTGGTCGCTGTCTTAGTAATAAAAAAAACTAAAAATACGTTCATTCAAATTACGTCCTCGTATTGAAATTTAGTATCAGCATATGGACCACCACAGACGGCGCCCTAAAAGGCTGTTGTTCAGCCGGGGTTGCGGGTTAAGCGCAGAGAGTCACCGCGGCCTCGGCCCAGAGCAGGAGAAGGAACGGGAGGGTTTTTAGTCAGTAAGAGTCTGACACTCTCTCACCTAACCCGGGGCAGGAGAAGACATTTGATGATTTTCCCCTAATAAAAAAGCATTATACTCTCGCGAATCCAGGGTGGGTCTACTAGGCTACATCCCATACTGTGAGCATTTGGGCTTATCTTCTTTTTAAAAATTAAATATTGAGTATCATATAATATTGGCTATATGCTTAATTGTGTCAATTTTTTTGGACTCATAAACTGTGCTTTTGTCTCTCCATTAATAAGTTTTCTAACTGAACTATTCAGTCAAGTGTTAATCTGGTAAATTATACAAACTCTCCACATGATAATCGTCAATTTAATAATAATTCCACGTAGTGCAAAACGCCGTTTCCTCTATTACAATATTATGTGCGGTGAATTTATTATGTAGGTTGCGTATTACACAAGCGATTTGGCCCGATTTTGCACTGTTTTGGCGCCAAATCACACTTAAGCCTTGTACTTAATTACGCAAGTAGATACCTACAGTTTTATCTTCATCTCCAGTGTTTAAGTGCCCACTGTTAACCAAAGGCCTCTTCTCACACTGAGAAGGCTTAAGCACCACGCTTGCTCAAGGCGGATTGGCGATTTCAAAATTGTAATTAGATTTTTGGTATACATCTAATAGGGCAGGCGGATAACCTAATGGTAAGCAATCAATGCCGCCCATGAACACCCGCAGCACCAGAAGAGTTACGAGTGCGTTAATCTTTTGGTGTTGCGCCTTTGGGGAAAAGGGTTCCTTCGGAGATATAGAGATGTAGCGACATCTAGCGCACTACATTAACAACAACAGCAACAATCACGTGCAAGAGGCTACATCGCGCTATAAGAGTTTTCGACACAATTAGCACCCATACAGATATCCCGACAACAACCCTCGGGCAGTAGCCCACCAGGCACGAACACCTCGCCTGGTCGGAGGATCCTCCCTTTACAATGGAGGATGAGACTTTCCACCCTGTTCCTCATACCTCTAAAGAGATTTTGGAGAGTAAGGATTGTGCCTCCAGTAACCTCACTCACACAGCGAAACACAACGTTATGGTTGTATCACATTTGTTTTCTGTACGACCGTGGTATCTGGTCGAAAAAGCTATCTATCAGTGAAAGAATTTTGGCAATCCGACCAGCGGTTTATTATGGCCAAAACATTGCAACCCCACTCTTAAAACTTAACTTCATGTTTTCTCACGATGTTTTATGTATTAAGGAATGTCAGTGTTATTTAAATAAGCTTATAAAGTAAATATAACTCGGAAAATGTCACACATTAGTACAGTTTCCACTACATAATCAGCTCCTGTCTTCTGTGGACTATGGATCACCGTTGATGAAATTTGGCACAGAGTGTGGGAGAGCCATGCTTCGGCACGAATGGGTTGACTGGACCTGAGTGATATCGTGACTTCACAGAAAACCGTCGTAAAGCAACACTTATATTGTGTTTCGACGTGTGAGTGAGGTTACCGGAGGCCCATACCTTCCTCCTCCATTCTCAATCCTCGAATCCCCTATCCTTAAATCACTAATGACCCACAAGATGTCGGCAACGCACTTGTAGCAACTCTTTCTGTTATTACAAGTTTCCATGCTTACCATCAGGTAATCCGTCAGCTCGTTTGCCAACTTATGATAACAAATAGGCTACCTGGTTCTAAAAGCCGCTAGCTGAAGCTGGATTCATCCCATTACGTTCAAGTGACTAAGCGTAGAAATATAACAGACTAGCCACTCTCGTGCGGTTTCACCCGCTGCTCGGCTCCATTTAATCGTAGCGTGATGTTTTATAGCCTATAGCACTCAGGAACATTGTAGCTATCATCAGTTAGACCACCACAGACGGGGCCCTATAGGGCTGATGTTCAGCCGGGGGCCGCAATGAGGCACCGCGACCTCGGCCCAGAGCAGGAGAAGGAAACTCCCTCCCGCCCGGCCCTGGGCGGGAGAAGTCATTTGATGATTTTCCCCTCACAAAAAAAAACTATCTATCAGTGAAAGAATTTTGGCAATCCGACCAGCGGTTCCAAAGATTACCCCCTACATACAAACTTACAAATTTTACCTCTTTATAATATTAGTATAGACAAACAAACAAACACATAAGCAATGTTTCTTTTGCATTTATAATATAAGTATGGATCTGTCGCGTCGCCTACCTGGCTACTCTCAAGACAGTTATACAATAAATAAATATACATACGCAGTAGGTTTACATAAAGACGTACATACTAATGTTCATTTAGCATACGGAACGCATAAACTCGACGGTTTAAAAGTAAAACAGTGCAAAAACGAAGCCATGATGACAGAATAAGTGTGAAGGGACTTTTTTTATGTGATAGGTCGGCAAACGAGCAAGCCATGGACACCGTAACGACGGAGGAGTTGCGAATGCGTTGTCGACCTTTTGGGGATTAGGGATTTGGAGATTTTGGGAAAGGGAACGGATTGGGGTAGGGGAAGGATTGGGCCTCCGGTAACCTCACTCACACGGCGAAACACAACGCTGTGGGTTGTTTCACGCCGGTATTCTGTGAGGCCATGGCCATTCATATCACTCCGGTCGAGCCGACCCATTCGCGCCGAAGCTTGGCTCTCCCACATTTAAAACTGGGACTGTAGGTATTTAGGTAACTTTTTCTTTTGAAGGGGAAAAATCAATAAAATGGCTTCCCTCGCTCTGGCTCTGACTAAAAACCACCACGTTCCTTCTCCTGCTCCAGGCTGGGGACGCAGGACTTGCGCTTGAACCCGCAACCCTGGCCTTGACTGGTATTAGGTACTGTCTGTCTGTCTGTCTTTTCTTCACGCTTAAACTACTGAACCGATATCTGTGAAATTTGGTACAGACAGTTTGGAACTCGAGAAAGGACATAGGATAGTTTTTATACCAAAAATCTGAAGGAAGTCACTTTTCCACGCAAACGGAGTCAAGTCAAAATCTAGTCAGCATATAAGTGCCCACTGCTGAGCAAAAATCACCACGCTTGCTCTTATAATAATTTAATATAAGAAATTATAAGTCCGGGTTTCCTCACGATGTTTTCCTTCACCGTATGTCAGTGGTGTCTAAATAATCAAAGAAAGTACATATTATAACTCGGAAAAAGTCACATTGGTACTTGCTAAGTTTTGAAACCGCACCCTCGTATATGAGAAACCTTACATGACACATGAATAGGTGCTTTTTTGTGAGGGGAAGTTATCAAATGACTTCTCCCGCCCAGGGTGTGGCGGGAGGGAGAGTCAGACCCTTACTAACTAAACCTCCCCGTTCCTTCTCCTGCTCTGGGCCGAGGCCGCGGTGCCATATTGCGCTTACCACGCAACCCCGGCTGAACATCAGCCCTATAGGGCCCCGTCTGTGGTGGTCTATTGGCTCATAGAGGCGCGCGGAAAGCGCCGTACGCTGGGATACGTAGGTACTTGTATCTTGCGATCTTAAACGTAAAGCTGAAAGTAGGGGAAAGGTCAAGGCCGCGGCTAGAAAACGGTATATGTACTATACATTGTAAAACACAATTAATATTGTTTACTAAACAATTCTCTAGTGAATGACTCAGAATGTGTGTTTAAATCTACGTAGTGTAACACCAAAAACTGTTGATTGTTTTTATTCATTGTGCTGTATAGGACAAAGGCCGTAGGTCATCCAGAATAGAATTATAGTTAGGCACAAATGAATAGAATTATTGATAGATAGGTGTACCTATGGCATTGAACTTTTCAATATATTTAACAAAAACAAAAAAATATAGGTAGGTATTAAAATATTACGCACTAAGCTTATTAAATAGAAAATAGGTTCTGCCTGCGGTTTCGCCCCCGTGGTTTTTTGATAAAAAGTAGCCTATGTCCTATTCCGAGGTGTATCCGACTCTGGACGGATGAATCGGGATGAAATTTGGCAGATTTCTCCAGCCGTTTTGGCGTGATTGAACATCCAAACATCGTTAATTTCGCAATTATAATATTAGTAAGAAGTAAGGTAAAAGCTTACTGACGTGGATTAACAGAAAGTTACCCAGATAAACGTGGTCAAAAGATAATTTTAAGTCAGCGGCGCGTATCTTTTTTGGTGCAGTTGTTCGGTAGTTATGCGCGTACAAACATACTTAGACATGCTCACAGTGAGTCGTATTTGTCTGAACGTGCTTGAATCATTGGAATTTTATCAAAAGGACTGTTACACTCATATTTGATAAGCAAAATGCAGTTCAGAGGTTACCGTGCAGAGTTGCAACGTAGAATTCTTTGTAGATAGAAATTGTTTTGTTATTTTTATCCTTTTTTACATGTCTCTTATTTGAGTTACTTGGGATTCCGCTGCTCAGCTCCTATAGATCATAGTGTGATGTTATATAGCCTAAAGCCTACCTCGATAAATAATCTATTCAGCACAAAAAGAATTTTTCAATTCGGACCAGTAGTTCCTGAGATTAGTGCGTTTACACAAACAAACAAACTCTTAAGCTTTATAATATTAGTATAGATGGGACGGGAAACACAATGCTCTGGTTGTTTTACGCCGGTTTTCTGTGAAGCCGCGGTATAATTCCGGTCGAGCCGACCCATTCACGCCAAAGCATGGCTCTACCACACTGAATTGACTTCAGAAATTTAATTCTACAATTTATTATCTTTACAGACTTATCAGAAGAGAACAGAGGTCTTCTATCTTCGAGTCAAGCATCATCAGGAACAGATTTCCAGTCCACGGAGACTCTAACAGACTCAGTACCGAAGACAGGGTACGATTTCTTAGATAATTGGTAATTTTTGTTACACCAGACCCCTTTTTTTAGCAATATGTTATTTTTTATAATTGTTATTGAAAAATTGACAATGGATTTGGTCTATGTTTGCTGTTTTTGGGCGTTTTTGTATCATCCGATCCGATATTGATGTAAGGCTGTCCTGATGTCGCAGTCCGGCTGGACTCTTTGGCAATGCGTAGGGATGTAGCCTCGCTGTGTGTTTTATGTCGCCTATACCAAGGGGATTGCTCCGCGGAATTGTTCGGTTTAATAACCGCCGCACACATCCGCCATCGACCCAAAAAAAAAAAAATTATCATCCGCATCACATAAATGGTCAACAATTGCGTGATTTTCGCGAATCTTTCTGTCTTGCACAGCGCTCCAAAAATGATCTTCCGGCGGCGGTATTTCCGAACTGACCTTTAAATCTACAAGAATCGTGCGTCCCAAAATCTTAACGCCCTTAATCCCCAAAATGTCGGCGACTCGTGACTCCTCCGCTGTTTTGTACACCAATATCGGATCGGATGATCGGATCGTTTAAAACGCTCATATTGATAGCATTGTCGCTCTTTTAATGCGTGCACGGAACACTTCAAATTGTATTGTATCAAATCTGTGTTTCGTCGTACAAAATAAAATGGTGGGCATTTGAGAAAATTGGGTCAAAATATAGTGATTTTTACACGACTGCCCAAAAAAGGAGTGTTATTTATTTTCGGGAATAGAATTTCGATTTCAAGTTTCTACCTTATATCAATGGTGCCTAAAAATCTAGGAAAGTACATACATATAACTTGGATAAATTCATATTGGTACTTGCCAAGTTCCGAATCCGCGATCTTATGCATGAGAAGCTGATGCCTGAATTTCTATGCTTTCATCATCATAATTATCATCAACCTGTTTCCGTCCACCGCTGGACATAGGCACGTCACTGAGCTCGATGTTCAGCTCTTATCATCCAACCACTGCCAACCTTAACGGATATGGTCAGTCCACCTAGCTGGAGGGCGTCCTTCACTACTTTGCCTTTCATAACACCCATCAGCTTATAAGTGCCCACTGCTAAGCAAAGGGTCTCTTCTCACACGTAGAAGAGAAGGTAGAGTATTAACCCACAACGCTTGCTCAAGGCGGATTGGCGATTTCAAACTTACGATTCGAATTTATAAGTCCAGGTTTCCTCGCGATGTTTTCCCTAAGTAAGTCAGTGGTGTCTAAATAATCTTAGAAAGTACATGTTACTCTAACTCGGAAAAAGTCACATTGGAACCTTAACCTCCGGGCCACTCCGATATTTTAGCCCTTCATGACAATTTCATACAATATTTACTCAAATGACTAAAAAACATGAATTGTCATGTTGTATGAATTTAGGTATAGCGGAAGTTACATAAAGAAGAATGCGGTTGACTCAAGTTAATTACTCATTAAGATAATTAGGCTAAATAAATATGCAGTCACTGGTAACTCAACACAATGTTTCTTAGAATTAACTTGTTTTTAGGCAGGCGCGTTATCGCATAGGAATTCCGGGAAATACTCTCTTTAAGCAAACAGTTTTGAATAGTTGATTTTAACTTTATATTGGGTAGTTTCCTTGGTTAAAAATAAATTAATTCGATTCAGAGCTGATTTTCCAATACTTTAAGTGTGGGAGAGCCATGCTTCGCCACGAAAGGGTCGGGTCGGCCGGAGTGATACCACGGCCTCACAGAAAACCGGCGTGAAACAACCACAACGTTGTGTTTCGCCGTGTGAGTGAGGTTACCGGAGGCCCAATCCTTCCCCTACCCCAATTCCTTCCCAATACCAAAATCCCCAAATATCAATCCTTAAAAGGTCGGCAACGCACTCGTAACTCCTTCTTTGTTGCGGGTGTCCATGGGCGACGCCGATTGCTTACCATCAGGTAATCCGTCTGCTCGTTTGCCGTCCTATCACATAAAAAAAATAGATAAATGTTATTTGAGAAATAAAATTGTTGTTGTCGCTGTCTTATACAAACATTCTGACGCGACAGTATCATAATTATTCCCCAGGTAACTTTTATCTAACCATTGAAAAACCAGCCCTCAATACAATAAAATATTGAAAAATAACTACTCATACTTTTATTCATCGATCTGTCTGTACACAAAATTTTCGATATATTTTTTAGCTAGTTTTTATGAAATAAGTAAGGTATTTGACGCAGGAAAACTATGACGTCATAAATTAGAATTTCATAGAAAAGTATCGTTTTTGACATTTGGATAAAAGTATTGAATTTGACCAGTTGGAAACTACCGGATTGAAACCTAAAATAGTATTTTTTGAATAGTAGCTTGCGTTAAATATATGTATTTAATTTATTGAAAATTACGACATACTCACATGAATGAGGGAAGATAGGATAATACGGGGAGTACCTATTCATAAGAGTCCCGTTTTAACTTGAAACTAGTAGAGCTTTCCTCAATCAATTCAAATGAGTAAGTCGTTTATTTTTTTATTAAATATGAAACATCATTTTTTTTCTTTAAGAATTCAAAGTTTAAGGCTAAAAATAGTTTAGAATCGTTATTAGGATAACCTAATCTATTTATACTATAAGTTAGTATTAAGTACGAAAGAACAATTTTCGAAAAATCTCAGTAATTGATTTAGAATGGAGTTTGGCGATCTGCCCTGCGTTTAGCAGCATGACTCTTTATAAGGTAGGATATACTTACATATAAAAGTTAGAATATATACCTGAATAATGGGTGTTCTTATATATATTAGGCGAATTTTACATATAATCAAAATTGGATCTCCTAAGGCTTATTTCGAAATGTCTAAAACCATATTAGCAAATAGCGTATGGACTAGAATTCTATGAAATATTTTTAATTTTGTTTTTCTTTTTTTATAAGCAAGCTCTTATAGGTTGGCTTTTAGAACGGGGATAAAATGGATGAGAAGCCATTTTTATAGGTTTAAAGTTAAGTCATACAGCTTAGCGTGTATGGTTACCCAAACTTAACGTGTATCTATGTGTATCGCCGTGTGAGTGTGGTTCTTGGAAGTCCAATCCCTCTTCTTCCCCCATCCCTTCCCAAATCCTTAAATATCCGAAGCCTTTACCACCAAAAGGTCGGTAAGGCACTCGTAATTCCTTTGGAGTTGCGGCTGTCCATGGGCGGCGCAGATTGCTTACCATCAGGTAATCCGTCATCTCGTATGCCTATCACATATAAACAGCTGAAACATTATTTATGAAAAATGAAAACATCAAATTGTTCTTCACTTACTGAAAGTTTTTCAGACATTGTGAAATATCGCTTTAATATTTTCTGCCTATAGGTTTTTTTTTTATTGTAATGAGTAATGTTTTATTAATAGTGCTAGTGTATTTTTCTGATTAACTTACTATAAGAAAAATCTGTACTGTTTTATACCTAAATGTAATATTTTATTTGCATTATAATCATGGTCGGATTCACAATCTATCAATCCGTAGCTAGTTATCTATAACTCTGGCCGCGTTAGGGCGGACCTGTGGACGCCGAGTAAGGTAACTCGTCGCCTGGCGAGAACCAGACCCCACAGCATAACAAAAAAAACCTGTGTTAAGTTGTTTAAGATTAATGGAGGTCCACCCTTGAGAATTATACAGTACCATTATCTACCATAAGTCATGAACGTACGTGCTAAGCATTTGTTTAAAAAAAAATTGCAAATTCATCTATAAACAACGGAGTTTTGAGGTTACAGACATAAAAAATAAATAAAAAAAAATACAATCGAATTGAGAACCTCCTCCTCTTTTGAAGTCGGTTAAAAACTAAAGATATTTCATAAAAAATATGTGAAACTGACCTATAGTATTATAAAATTGCCAAAAAATAATTTTGTTCCTCATTTCTATAGGAATAGACTGTTTTTTTTTATACCTAGATTCTATGTTAATTGCTTATTTTTAATGTGTTATATTAACTTTGACGCACTTTGAGTTATCCCAATTTAATTAAAACTTATTAATGAGGATTTTAAGGTTGAAAATGCAACACCAAAGCCATTATAAGGGTTGCCTTCATTTGTAAATAATTTGGGATGACATTTTTCTGTATTTTTTAATTTACTTAATATTAGGATAATAATTGACTGCCCATTTTAGTCTAGTTCTACCTACCCCTTAGGGGGATGGCTTGATGTTTAATATAAAGAACTCAATAGTATTTATTATGTAAAAAAATATCGCAATACTATACGTATTTGTAATAATAATTATAATTGGATAGTTTCCTAGGTCATAGATTCATTGATATGACTATGAACTTATTTTTTTATTTTTCTACGAAACATTTTAATATTAAAAAAGTACATATGCTGTTTGTCGTTAAAAGATTATAACGTCTTATGTTGCGATCACATACAAAATACAAAGAAAAGTATTGAATTTGACTAGTTGGAAACTACCGAAGTGTATTTACTATGAATTGAGATGTTTCCGGTTTCAGGGGTGGGCAAAGTAAAATTGAGTTATTTTCGAAATCCTCATTAACCATACTATATAATAATATGTAATAGTAGGTTTGCCCTACCTTACAAATATGATTTATCTTATGTTAATTATGATGTTTTGGGCTGAAGAAACATCTCCATTTTTAATTAGAGATTAAATAATGCTCTCATACTGCATTTACTGTTTTAGATTAATTAGTTTTTAGGTATGTAATATATCCTCTATGTATGTACTCATTTAATAAAATAATTTATAAGGAATTATCTTTGGTTTTATTCTGGTCCCGATTTTAGTAATAAATTAAATTGAGTAGTTTCCTAGGTGAAAAATGAATGACTTTGACTAGTTATATTTCCATTCATAGATTTGACGATATAACTCCTTTTTTTTTTTTTCAGAAATTTGTATGGGTTTTAATTCTAAAATATTATGGCGTCATATGTTGCGATTTAATTCGTCACTCAAATATAAGTCTCATTTTTCACATTTCAATAAAATTATTGTATTTGACTGTGTACCTCTAGTTGGAAACTACCGGATAGTCGAAATTTTATTTGTTAGATGTAGCTCAAAGAAATAACTGGCAAGAAAATCTCTAATTTCTCCCAATAAAATACTTGCTAAGTTAACACAAAAAGGAATTTTATGTGATAAAATAAAAAAAAGCATTAAAATGACAATAAATATAATAAAAGGCATACATAAAAAAAGGTATTTGGATACAATACAATCAATTTAGATAATAATAACTTATAACTGCTTCGAGGGTGCTTGACTTATTCCAAGCCGTTTACAGGACTTACACATCATAATATGAAAAATATGCGGCATTATTATGGAAAAGCAGTATTATCTGATAAAATACATATTTTATTGCACTTAAAACCAATGACATAAAAATGTTAACATTTTAATATCCAGATATAATCATTCCTTTCTCTACTTGATCAGCCTTATCTTTGCCTGTTAGCAATTCAATTAACTTCAGTCCAAACCAGTATGCTGTTCCGGGGCCCTGCAAATCGGAAATTTTATCTTGAACCTATAAATTATAAATTAACTAAAACTCGCGGGTTACTCACGTGTGTATATTCAGAAAAGCTCTACTAGTTTCGAACCACAGAGGGGTTCTTCCTCATAAGCAGTGTGCGCGGACGCGGCAGATGGCGCGTTGGACTCGCCGCAGCGCAACCATCAACAGCGATGCAGGCGCCAACGCTAACCAGTAGGCTGCGCGACGTCGCCGCGTCCGCGCACGCTGCTCATGAGGAAGAACCCCTCTGTGGTTCGAAACTAGTAGAGCTTTTCTCAACATTTACATGTGAGTAACCCGCGAATTTTAGTTAATTTAGTATGTCTCACGATATAAAAACATATAAATTATACTTATAGTAGTATATAGTATATACCCCCTTCTTTGGTCGCGTGTTCAATTTCTTTTTATTATATTATAATAATAGACTACTCGGCTGCCGTGCAACTCCTCGCGGGTACGATTCCCGCACGAACACTCTGTGTGATCCAAAACGATCTAAGTAAGGGTATCTCGCTGCCCGACCAGAACATTTAGGACGCGCGCCTCAAAGAGCCATTACAGACGGGGCCCTATAGAGCTGATGTTCAGCCGGGGTTGCCAGGGCAAGCGCAATGAGGCACCGCGACCTCGAGCAAGAGATGGAACGAGGGGGGTTTTTAGCATGCAAGATTCTGACACTAATCCCCACCCCATCCTGGACGGGAGAAGCCAATTGATGATTTTCCCCTCACAAAAAGAATAAGGGAATATTACCCTCTCTCAGTGGTAAAAAAAACACTAAAAACTTACCCTGCTAGTAACAATATTCCCATCAACCACTACTCTCTCTCCTTCCACGTAGGTGTAGCAATCAGCTGGTATCTTATCCTTTGTAGTTGGGTAGGATGTGATTTTTTTGTTCTGGGCAACACCGTGAGCTACGAATGCTGTTGGCGCTGTAAGGAAAAAATATATACATATTACATTTTTTTATGCTATATATCGGCAAACGAGGAGAAGGATTACCTGATGGTAAGCAATCAGCGCCGCCCATCATCATCAGCCTATACGTGCCCACTACTGAGCAAAGGCCTCTTCTCATACGGAGAATGTTAGAGCATTAATCATCACGCTTGCTTAATGCGGGTTGGTGATTTCATACTTATAATAAGGAATTATAAGTCCAGGTTTTCTCAAGATGTTTACCTTCGCAGCATGTCAGTAGTGTCTAAATCTAAATAATCATAGAAATATATAATACTAGGTACCGGGCCACCACGACACCAGCGCCGCCCATGCCCCGCAACAACAGAGAACTTACGAGTGCGTTGCTAACCTTTTGGGCCGACCGGAATGATACCACGGCCTCACAGAAAACCGCCGCGAAACTGCCACAGCGGTGTGTTTTGCCATGTGAGTAAGATTACCGGACGCCCAATCCTTTCCCTCCCCCAATCCCTAAATCTCCAAATCCCTTATCCCTAAAAGGTAGGCAACGCACTCATTCCTTCGGTGATGCGGGTGTCCATGGGCGGCGCCGATTGCTTACCATCAGGTAATCCGTCTGCTCGTCTGGCGACCTATCGCTTAAAAGGAAAAGAATACTTTATTTACCAGCGCAAATAGCAGCAACAATCTTTCCCTTCTGTTCGTGCTCCTTCAGAATGTTGCCAACTATCACTGATTTCGAGAGGCGATCCGAACCTTCCAGACCTCCGGGCAAAATTACCTGGAAGAAATATAAGAAAAAAATATTTATAATATCCCACTACCTATCCAACTAATATCATACTTTATTTCAAATTATTAATGTGATAAATTATGAGAATGTATGGATGTATGTTTGTCCTTTTTTTTTTACACAAAAACGGATGGACCGATTTGTTTGAAACTTGGTAACGTAGAAAGGCGATACCCTGAATTAGCACATAGGCTTTTTATCCACGCGGGCGAAGCCGCGGCCGGATGAAAACACCTGAAGGTATGACAAAGAACTAGGTAATAAAAATAGGAATTCTTGTTACTTACCGCATCATACATGGGAGTCTCAGCTAGAGCGGCATCCAGAGCCTTGTCAGGAACGAGGGTGACCTGCCTGGAACACAGCACTGGGTCGGGTCCATCTAGACCAGCTAGAGTCACTGTTACCTGAAAATAATAATGCAGGTTTAAGTACCTGAGTTTAGGGTGCAGGTCGGAAAATGTCCATAAATCAAATCATTAATTCCAATTTTTTTTTTTTTTTACTTGCTATAAACTAGTGCTTGACTGCGATCCTACCTGATGGTAAGCAGTGATGCAATCGTTGATGGTAAGGCGCACTAGTTTATTAAGAGCCTATTCACTCTAGCCTTGAAGACACCTAAATTGTATTCGGACGGAAAGACTGCAGCCGGCAAACTGTTCCAATCCCTCGATGTACGCGGTATTGTATAATAATATTATTATATAATTATGCCATTACTAGCTTCCACTCTTGTGGTATGTTGATAAAAAGTCTAAGTCCTATTCCGGAGTGTATTCTAAGCCTGTTCCAAATTTCATCCAGATACGTCTAGCCGTTTTGGCGTGATTGACTAACAAACATCCAAACATTGTTACTTTCGCATCTATAATATTAGTAAGAAAGTAAGATTTGCACTTTTGAGCGTCAGGCAATAAATAAATATCAAAATTTCAACTCTGTGTGTCAGTCTTTCGGTCAGTCCTCTAGTGAAGCTATTTGCTCGTTTCTAAAGTGTAGATTCCAATCAAGAAGAACGAGCAAGAAACTCCGTGGTTAGTCGGAGGAACTCAGTCAATTTCATAATAAATGTTTGTAATGTCTTAATAAATCGCAAAATATGTTGGTAAGCGCATAACTCAACAACATTTAGACCAATTTTACTAATTCTTTTTTTGTTATGTTTGTTATTGTCAGAATAATGTTATTATGAAAGAGAATATTAGAAAAGTAGAGAGGAGAGCTGGAAAATGGGGACCATTTCATTGTAAGCGAGATAGTTGGACCCGTGCGAAGCCGGGGCGGGTTGCTAGTCTATACTAATATTATAGAGTTAAAATTTTTAATTTTTATGTAAAGGGTAATCTTTGGAACCGCTGGTCGGATTGCCAAAATTGTTTCACTGATAGGTAGCTACAATGTGCCTGATTGCTATAGGCATAAAACATCACGCTACGATCAAATTGAGCCGAGCAGCGAGTGAAACCGCGCGAGAGTAGCCAGTGACAAATAAAAATAATCAATTGAAAAATCAGCATGAATACTTACTCCACCTCTTCTGAGCATGTCTACAGTGATGACAGTCTCCATCTCCTCGGCACCCTGGCTCAAGATGACCAATGCAGTTTTCGACATTGTAGGACAAGTTGTTATGTATCTAGAAATTCATAAAAAAGGGAAAGATAAATAGACAGAATCTTTTATATCTGTATATATAAAAAACATGTAAGAAATTGAAATGGGCAGGTCATATATTAACACCCAGTTTCTTAAAGGCTTGTCAACGCTAAAATTATCTAATCTCCTGTTAAATCTCTTGTCAAGTCATCTGATTGGTTGTTGATAATTCAGTCAACCAATCAGATGACTTGACAAGAGATTAAATTGATCGGCCTTTCGGAAACCGAGTGTAAGAGATAGAAATGGACAAAAACAATAATTGAATGGTACCCGAGGGATGGAAAAAGAAGCAAAGGTCGACAATCAAGACCATCGTCTTGATTGTCGCCGGAAGACGACTTAAAAGGAACTTTGGGACCACTGTGGATGAAAGTTGCGAGGGATAGGGATACGTGGAAACTATTAGAGGAGGCCTATGTCGAAAGACAAACTGAAAATAAACATACAGATAAAAAATTATGATAATTAAGAATTAATTGGTACTCAGAAATAAAGGCTTATTTTATTTATTTATTTATTATATAAAAAACAATGCTCACACAACAATCCAACGCGTTTACGTAAGAAACTCACATTTTGAAAAAACTTCACGTGAGATTCGGGGATGGGGGAGGGAGTTGAATAAAATCTCACGACATCTAACGAAAATTTAAAAAAACACCTCACTTAATTTATGGGCGCCCCCTTATTTATAATTAATTTGGTGTGTCTCAAGATTATTATTATTCTAACATAGTAATATAAGTGTGGGAGAGCCATGATTCGGCACGAATGGGTCGGCTCGACCAGAGTGATACCACGGCCTCACAGAAAACCGGCGTGAAACAACCACAGCGTTATGTTTCGCCGTGTGAGGTTACCGGAGGCCCAATCCTTCCCCTCCCCCGATCCCTCCCCAATCCCTTAATCTCCAAAACCCTAATCCCTAAGAGGTCGGTAACACACTCGTAACTCCTCCGCTGCGGGTGTCCATGGGCGGCGCTGATTGCTAACCATCAGGTAATCCGTCTGCTCGTTTGCCGATCTATTACATAAAAAAAAATAGTTTTCGATATAATATTTACAGTAAGTTTTTGTGCTAATAATATTAAGAATATTATTCATATTATACATTCCCAATAAAACTATGTCTGGCACATAGTTTATACAAATAACATTTTATATTCAAATAAATCTGATGCATAGCAAATACACAGACACGGTGAAGTGTAACTTAAGACAGCAACTTAGGAGGAAAAGGGAAAACTTGTAGTTTTGCTTCACAACTTGTTATTTACTATATTCTGCAAGAAATATACACCTAATTATGTAAACAGTTTAAATTCATTGCATTGAGGAAAATGTGAAAGATTTGTGAGACAATTTCTGTATATATTCCATATAATACAGTAATTAATGGCTATTCAATCTATAATATAAAATAGAATCGCAAAATGTGTTGGTAAGAACATAACTCAAAAATGCCTGGTCCAATTTTTCCAAATCCTCTTGTTTTGTATTTATTATTGTCAGGAAAAGGTTCTAATGAGAGAAAATATGAGAAAAGTTGAGGGGAATATTGGGGATAGTGGACCCTTTATGACTTGGATCTGGCAAAGCGGGGTTAGGCCGCTAGTTCTAACTAAATGGTTAATAACTTAAAAAGATAATTATGTTAAATGTTAATTTATTATGAAATAATTTATTTATCTTTCTTTCTTTCAAATGACTTTTAATTTATCAAAGCCCAAGGGAAAACTGGGTTCACACACCTATTAATAATTTACAATTTTTGTATTTCAGATTACCTCAATGGAAAGGATAAACAAACAATATTAAATAATGATAAACAACAACAGCTCATGCGTATGTGAGTTTGTAAATAAGTAAAAGCTCCAAAAGTTTTTTTTTTATCTACCTACAAAGAATATTAAGTTCAGGAAATTCTGAAATGGATCTAACAATTTCTATGAGATTTTGTATGTACAGGGTAACAAGGACGAAAAACCAATGTGGAGAGGGTGCTTTAATTTTTTTTTTTTTATTATCATCACATAGGTACTAATCCCTGTCATCCAGGTAGATACTAAACAAATACATAGGCGTGAAAAAAAAAAGTTACATAGCATTTCGAATCATAACTTTTTTGTCATTTTGGATACTAAAAACCATTGCATAATGTGTTTTTAAAAAGGATTTTTAGGGTTCATATTAAATTCTAAAATAATGTAGTATTGTAGTCGAATCAAAGTGCGGCTACGTAATTTGGGTTACATGAATTTCTCGAACAGTCTACGTTATGAAGCTCAGAATTCTTATTAATTAACAAAGAAATTACCTGCTTTGCAAACTGTTAAAGCTTACTGCTAATATTCGTTTATATTTCGAGTGAAATTGAGATTTTAGAAGACTTCTGAACACCATCAAGTATGGAAAATTGACAGTAATTTTTGAAGGTCAAACAATAAGTAAAAAATTTTACCGGTATTCGTTCGGAAACTAGTAAAAGTTTATTTTAAGCTGAAACTTTATGTTTGATATATTTCATGAAGAATTTTGAGCTGACTTACATGTTATCAATTATTTATTTTAAGACCAGATTGTTATTACTGGAGATTAAATTTTAAAAAATAATTACAGTAAGTAAGGGCCAAGAAAGATTGTAATTTTTGAACAGAAAATACATAACAATTAGTCTATGGTTGTGTTGCTAGTTTTTAACAAATCCCGAGAATTGAGGAGATTCAGAGGATAATGAAAATTGAATCACTAAGAACCCTTTTTTTAAATTAATTTCGATGACAAATAAGCAAACATTACTAATAAATTTTCCTAATAATTAAATATATAAACAACCCTTAACCAATTATGACACTAACATAAAAAAATACCTTGATTTTGCATTAAAATGATACACGAGCAGGCGAGTTATAATTACTATTTGCTTAAGGTATGGGGATAGGGGAGGAGGAGTAGGAATTAAGATTGATGACACACCCTGACCCAGTCAATATCTGTTATTTCACGACGTTACGATATACATAATTATATTTACATACAGTCTTTGTGAGAACAATGTATAATTGTGCAATAATTTATTTAAATACCTAAATAAAGAAATCAGTTCCCAAATTACTTTACTACGTAAAGGTAATTTTACTGAATATTGAATAATATTATATAATAAAGAACTATATATTTAAAAATCGATAGAGAACCATGAATATGGCATAAACTACTTATAATTACAGAGGATTTTAATCCATATTATAAAGATAAAAATGGGATTAATTTATATAAAAATATTCAACAAATAAAAACAATTTCGTTCGGTAGTAATCGTCACGATATATTTTTTGTTAAAACCATTTTGTCTTATCTATTTAATGATATTACAATTGATTTGGATCAAATTGAATACATATATTTTTATTTTTAGTTAAAAATCTAGCATTTCTTCAAATACTGTGCTCGCCACATGTCTATGATTTACATTTTTGTAGGGTGCCCACTAACCTTTTAATATAACTAATCTACCCTCGACTGCAGTGTATATGGCTAAGTATTTTCCGCTTCAACATTAAGCAATTATTTAGCTTTGATATATTAGTTGAGTTTATTAAAAAAATAAATATTCCTTCATAAAAACTCCCATCTTTTTATGACATAAATCTCATTGATATTAACAACACGGGTAAATTTAATTTGAACACGATATCCCCGACAGATGTTCGTTGACGGCAACTCTACTTGTCTATACTCAGCTTCCTTTCTTTCATTCAGTGATTCGGAAAGGATACGAAAAAATCATTTTTTTATACTACTACTTTTACAATTATACTTACAATTTAACTAAGAAGTCATGTGATTAGCAATACCTAGTGTAATTTCGCATTTACAGGTTCTTTTAGTGTATATTTTAAGTCATATCATTTAGTGTTTTGTTAGGTTATAATCATACTATGGATTGGAACTAAGATTTATTGTTTTAAATTTTTTATATCTTAAAACCGTGTGAAATCATGGATTTTGTGAAAAGGGAAGATCAGAATGTCATGGACGACGAAAGTTACAAGTTCTACATCGAAAGCGTAAGTAATTCATGAATTGTTTGTTTTAATTCAAATTCGTTCCGTTTTTTACATAAAAACTGTTGATAACGTGACTGAAGTTCCGGGTTTGGATCCCGGTTCATGTATTCTAGTTTTTTGCCGCTTTCAGTTTTTATTGGTTACTGTTTTACACAGTGCACTTATTATAAAGATTAGATTTTTTTTATAATTAAGGTTTAGTAAACAAAGTCTCACTATACATTAGCTATCTTTTTCTAATAGTGATATATATTATCTGTGTTATAATAATTACTCTATGTTTGGAACCTAATGATATTCTCTAGCCAACTACTCTAATAACTTATATTGTAGTTATTTTGAACCTAAACTCTTTATAGTATTAACTATAATAATAATGTAAAATATACTTTTCATGACCTGGGCATGAAGCATCAAGATTCTAAATTTAAAATCATCACTAAAATTGCTATCTGGCTGGTAAAGTACATATAGCCACATTTTAAAATTAAAAAAAATCTGGGCTCAATTTAAAAACTTTTAGATTCTAGTAGTATGAGTATGAGTGACTATGAGTAGCTCAAAATCTTTATTTTATTTGATGTAGTAAAAATTAATTTCCTTATCATTGTAATATTTTTATATAGAAGACATTTTGTGGTAAACAATATTATAATTTGAAATTTCTTTTTTTTCATTTAATTTTATATATTTAAAATACATCACACTAGTTAACTAATAATATCCTTACCTACTTACAAACAACTCTAAAGAGAATTTTTTACCAATTAAATTATTAAACTGATATCATAATTCACCCAGACTATACCAATTTGTGGATCACTCAAATCGCTGTTCCAGTACGGAAATTCTGCACCAACCAGAAATTGCCAGTATATTTTAATGATTGTAATCACAATTTTAGTTTACCTAGTAATTAAATGTTATAGTTATTTTTGAAAGCATTACATAAAGAGGTATAAAATTAAGTCGCTTTCTCTGTTCCTATGTATGTTTAAATTTTTTAATAGATAGAGTAATAGTAGAAGAGGGTTTATATGTGCAATAACACTAATTAAATAGTGTTGAAAAGTATCAATCAGCATTGTTCCTATACAAAGATGGGAAAAGTTGGGATAATAATTAAGCCTTTGACTGCCGACAAAACTGTTGAAGGCAAATCCTCCACTAACGGAGGTCACCGGTGACCCCCAAGGCGCTTAACGTGTTAAACTAAACTAAAGCTGTGATATTCTAAAGTTGAAATCTTCTAGTGACTGCATGGTTGGTGTGGTGGCTGGGCAACTGGCTGCCGTGCAGCATGTCGCGGGTTCGATTCCCGCATGGAACAACTCTTTGTGTGATCCACAAATTGTTGTTCCAGGTCTGGGTGTCATGTGTATGTGAAATTGTATGTATGTAACCAAACCCACGACACAGGAGAAAAAATCCTAATGTGGGGCAACATTTTTTTTTTTTAAAAAACAAAACAAATTATTTAGAATTTATTTGTCTGAATAAATTTGTCAAATAAATGTGTTTTCTTTCTTTCTTTCTTTCTTTCTAGAAAATGAGACAAATAAAAAGCACTTTTACATGCAGCAATTAAGTGAATAAGTGAATGGAGAGGCTGCATGTGTTTGTGCACTATAATATTTCCAGGCTTGTCTAGTTATTCAGACTGGCCACAATCACTCAAATTCTTTAAACAACCTAAGTTTGAAACAGATATTTTAATCTTGCTATGGCCCCTGGTCCTTGAAGCAGTAACATAGCTTTTATATTTTCCATCTTCCTTACTGTTTCTCGAACTAAAACCAATATGTTGTGATGTGAAAAGTGTTTTACACTTTGGTATAATCATGTAGGGTGGAGCAACACCCTTTACAAAAAAAAAGGGTTGACTGCACTGTTGGTATGGTGGCTGGGCAACTAACTGCAAATCAACTCCCTTAAACAACTCTCTCTTAGGAACCCCCCTTGGTGTGATTCTCAAATTGTTGCTCTGGGTCTGTGTGTTAAAATGTACCCAAAAAACAAGAGTAAATTAAAAAGTGACGCAGTGTTATTAAATTAAATATTATAAAAAATATGTCAGTAATTTTATTGAATGGATCTATCATGAATCAAGAGTTAAGATAAGACTTTTCCAATAAATTATAGAAATAAGTATATCATTTTATTCTATGAAGCACTTAAATATATTAATTCAATGTTGTAAGCTTATAATATAATAAAAACTTGTTGTTAACCTTGACTTATTTCAATGTTTCAAGATCAGGTCATTTCATTTAGTGAGAAAATTAATATTGGTCATTCATTTCCTCAATTCGTCTCTTTTTTTTTGCACCGTTGAGGTGTTTAACTTCGTTTTTCGTCGATTCACTTACTTATAAGTATCTCGGTGTCTCATGTCTGAAGACGACGTGCAACCGGAGCAAGGGTAGGGACCAGAACCAGGCCCGCACGTACGGGACAAGACGTGCGCGTGCCTCAAAGAGCCTTAAGACCACCACACAGGTTTGCTGGCTAAGCGCAATAAGGTATCGCATCCACGACCCGGAGCAGAAGAAGGAACGTTGTAGTTTTTAGTCAGTAAGAGCCTGACTCTTTCCTCTCGCCCCAAGCAGAGCGTAGTTACCCCTCAGAAAAATTTCCTATTACCTGTTTTCGTCTTAATAAGGAAAACCTTAAAATGTCTTGGAGATACCTTAAAAAGACACCTAGCTATAGGAAAGATTACCTAAGATTACCTGTGGGATTATTGCCTTGCCAGTATAAAAGGCACTGGCTCCAAAAAAGTATACAAAAGAATTTCGCAAGCCTAAAACCTCCTATACTTTGACAGCATTAGTCCAGGAGTATCCTTGACACTTATAGTGCTCTATTCCTGGGATAGATCATGACCCCTAATGGATATTTACTTCGTTGGCCCAGCGTCCCAAAGTGGGTCTTTGATGTGGAATTGCGGGATTTCTCGCAGTTATTGGCAGTTTTCAGAACTAATAGGTGGTTTGTTAAAAAAATGCAATGAAGGTATTTCTGACTTCTCACCCATGTTTAAGCAGTTATTAGTATAGTTAGATAGATGGAAATCGAACAAAAAAAAACGTTGCCCCACACCCACGACACAAGAAAATCCTATTTCTCCTGTGTCGTGAGTGCGTTTATAAACATACAATCACACCCAGACACACAAAGATTTGTCCCGTGCGGGAATTGAACTCGCGATATATTGCGCGGTAGCCAGTTGACCAGCCACCGCGCCAACCGTGCAGTCTTAGTCATTTTTGTTGGTTTTTTATAGTTACACACAGAAATGACTTGCCTATGTTTTAATATTAATTTGCTAAATGATAACCCACTTATTGAATCGAGCCACTTCCAACAAGAGGCTCTCACTCATTATTTAACAAAATCCCATATCAATAATGTCTTTCAACCTTCACAGCTGCAAAGGTCACATCAGATCGAGCCAACGGACTACCAGCATTCAGCAATATCGATGGAACAACTCCATCAAGCGATGCAATCGTCAGTAGCGAGCACAATCGTCCACAACCTAGAACTACCTCTTTCTCCCCGACAAATATCATCATTAATGCTAAAAACTAACCATTTACAACGAAACATAAATTTCAACGAAATACCCGCACATTTACAACGAAATATTACTTCTGAATTGGATCTAGTGCATAATTTGAACGAACTACCTCAGAATTTGAATAGGCATGACGATTTACTAGGACAAAATCTTAGCAGGAATCTAGATTTGTCTTTAAGATCGTTAGGATCCGATTTGGACTTGCAAAACAATTTGAGTCAACTAGCGCAGAATTTGAACGAGAATTTAAGCGCTGATTTGAGCAGAATAAATGACATGAGGACGGATATACCTCACGATTTGAGCCATGAGATAGATTTGTCTCATCATTTAAATAGGCCGAATATGGATCAGGAGATTTTGGGCCAAGATGAGACGAGACGGACTCCGATTGTCATGCAAGACCCCCACATGTTGGATCAAAGTTTGGCGCCAAGATTGGTTGGTGCTCCGATGAATGTTCACGAACGCTTGGACCAACAAGAACACATGTTGCCAATGCCATTCCATATTAAATCTGAGCAAGAGGATGATGGGTATTTTTATGAGAATATCAATCCTGCTATCAACACTGTTCCAAGTTTAAATGGTGAGTTAATTTTTGCACTTTACATTTTTGGCTTTTCACGCATGGCAATAGTTTTAATAACTCAAAAATGAACTTAATATATATTGCAGTTTAGGAGTTAAATTAGATTTTTTGGCGATAAAAAGAGATCCACTTATTCATCACGGAGTTTTTTCTCTATATAAAAAACTAGCTACTCTCTCGCGGTTTCACCCGCTGCTCGGCTCCATTTGATAGTAGCTTGATGTTTTATGGCCTATAGCACTCAGGAACATTGTAGCTATCTATCAGTGAAAGTATTTTGGCAATCCGACCAGCGGTTCCAAAGATTACCCCCTACATACAAACTTACAAATTTTACCTCTTTATAATATTTGTATAGAAGGTTATTATCTTTTTTCGTGCTTATTATTGACAGTGTAAGTTTTGTGTCTGTGTTAGATGTTAACTAGCCCCTGTTGAAACTGACATCACCGAAATTAGGAAGCTATTGTATATGTCTAAGGTTACCTAACTCATTTCTGTTTTTCATAATAATTTCAAAAAAAAGTTTCTATTGAATTTGACTAGTTGACGAATACTGTGTTCCCAAATGGATGGATGTAACCTTTCCACAGCATTAACCTTTAAGATTATTATAATTGAAAGTATTTTCGTACTGAATCCATTACCAAACTTGTTTTCAGATAGTTAAATGTTTTTATGCTATATGATCTTAGCATGCCCGCTTTAATCTAGACTTCTTCTGTCATACAGGCGTTTTCCATTGACACAATGACACAAAAGAAGACGAGAGTCTGACACTCCCTCCCGCCCGGCCCTGGGCGGGAGAAGTCATTTGATGATTTTCCCTGACAAAAAAAGCCTTATTGAAGTAGTTACAGCTGTGTCCATGATTTTCCTTGACCATATGTCAATGGTATCTAAATTAAGAAAGGTTATATAGAACTCTTTGCATTGATTTATAAACTATGACGTCATAAAGTGCATTAAAAACAAGATGTAATCGTTGAAATGCGATATTTATTTAAATTTTCTTTTAAATAAATTTTCGTATGTGATAGAATTTGTAGATTGCATTATATAAGATTTAAATAATATAAGTATTTCGGAAATAACTAAAATATTTATGTCTGATCATCATCATCATCATCATCATCAGCCTATAAGGTTAGAGCATTAATCAATGCGGGTAGGCGATTACAAACTTATAATTAGAGATTATAAGTCCAGGTTTCCTCACGATGTTTACCTTCACCGTATGTCAGTGGTGTCTAAATAATCATAGAAAGTACATATAACTCGGATAAAGTGACTTTGGTACTTGCCAGAATTCGAACACACCCTCATGCATGACAAGCGGGCTCCTTAACCTCCGGGGCACCACGACCTTGTCTCGCGATGGGACAAAAACAATTCTTAATTGTAGGATTTTAAGTGTGGGAGAGCCATTTTTCGTCACGAATTGGCTGGCTCGGCCGGAGTGATACCTGGGTTTTACAGAATAACCGGCCTGAAGCAACACTTACGTTGTGTTTAGCCGTGTGAGTAAGGTTACCGGAGGCCCAATCCTCAAATCCCCCCATCATCTACCTCAAATCCCTAATAACTTACAAGAGGCCGGCAACGCACTTGTAGTAACTATACCAAAGGAGTATTACTAGTCTCCATGGGCAATCTGATTGCATACCATCAGGTAATCCGTCTGCTCGTTTACCTCTGGCGGGTTTTTGTCGTCCTGGTGTGGTGAGCCAATTGCAGACACTGCTAAAAACCACATCGTTCCTTTTCCTGCTCCAAGCCGCAACTGCGTACAATTGCGCCTAACCCACAACTTCGGCTGAACATTAATCCTTTTGGGCCCTGATCAGAACAGCTGCTGCCTGGTGTCTGTCTAATCCCTTGGGCATCTTCTATTTGGATGTTGCCATTTTGCGCATGGGTGGTGGAAAATCGCAGTTTTTAAGGTCCAGGTTTATCAGAGACCGCTGTTGTCCAGTCTGGACCAAACTCGCAGCCCCTTCCTCCGGGAATTGAGAAATGTCATCTACTTTATCGTCACCGACCGTCCATTTAAAAGGACTAATGAATTATTTTCACATTTCTAATATAATTTGCCAAGGTCAGGACCGAATCTGAATAGTCGTTAATAAATTGAAATGGCTTCATAAATTATTCAAATTGTTTCGTTGACGTAAGCGGTAAGGGTCAGTGCACAGTGAATGGAGAATGCATAGCTTACGACTTTTAGCTAAGTATTAGTTTTAATAAGTAGACGGATTACCTGATGGTAAGCAATCGCCGCCGATGGACACCCGCAACATCGAAGGAGTTTGGAAGAGGAGCTCTCCGAAGGAGAGCCTTTGGGTCATTAGGGATTGTGGAAAGATAAAGAGAGGGAAGGATAGGGATAGGGGAAGGGGCGGAATTGGACCTGCGGTAACCTTAATCACACAGCGAAACACAACGCTGTGGTTATTTCACGCCAGATCTTTTGGGAGGCCGTGGTATCACTCCGGTCGCGCTGAACCATTTGTGTCGAGTCTTGGCTCTCTCACACTTACACGTATCACGTTGTTTATTTTTTTATTAATCTCATTCGAATTTTTCGAGGTCATTGTCAATTTTATGCAGATTTGTGCAGCAATTTTCGAGTTGTGCGTGTATGGTATTACGTCAAAGTTGTCATTAACCCCAATACGTTCGTTGCTGGAGAAAGGCCTCTTTCTTAAGAGGGGGGAAGCTATAATCCTCATGATTGGCAAGCGGTTTAGAGATAGCCGTTTTTTTTTTCTATCAAATTTCTAATCTATTTTCACGGTCAATTTTAAGTCAAACCATTTGTGTCAATAAGACCATTATCAGATGTCAAACTGGGCGTATTTTGCGAAACTTTCTGCCTAAGACAGCAAAACTTTGGAATGATCTTTCGGTGGTCATCAGTATTTCTGAACCAATACGACCTTCAAACCTTCATGAAACGTGCCTCACTCCTTATCAAAAAGGTTGGCAATGCGCCGGTGACTCCTTTGTTGCAGGTGTCCATAGGCGGCGATAATCAAGGTACTATCAGGTGATCCGTCTGCTCGTTTGTTTTCTATTCCACAAATATAGATATAAAGAGAATGTCAGTCTGTCGGTCATTCCTCTTAGTGAAACTATCTGTTCTTTAAGTAAATGTGGAAACTAGTTCCAAATGTGATGCTGAAAGACACGTGGTTTTTGCTAGAGTCTCAAAAATAAATTATTTCAACTTATAAAACCTTAAAAATACTTATTAATAAAGACAGTTATAGATACTTTTCACTAACGTATTTTACGACGCACTTAATATTAGTACTTTTTAGATTGTATACAAAACTAGCGATCTGCCCCGGCTTCGCTGCAATATACTAATTACTTATACTTAATTTCTACACAATTGAATGGATGATTATCCTTCCTCCCAAATCACACTATTTATATTAAAAAGCAGCAACAAAATCGGTAGCGTAGTTTTAAAGATTTAAGCGTTCACAGGGATATAAAGACCAGCCGGGGTTGCGGGGTAAGCGCAATGAGGCACCGCGACCTCGGCCTAGAGCAGGAGTAGGAACAGGGGGGTTTTTAGTCAGTAGGAATCTGACACTCCCTCCCGCCTGACCCTGGGCGGGAGAAGTCATTTGATGATTTTCCCCTCACAAAAAAAGGGATATAAAGACAGAGAAAGCCATTTTGTTTACATTCCTGTGTTTTTTTATTGTAGTGTACAGTAAAGTGTAGTCTATTCTATCTTATTCTAAAAAACACAACAAAAAGTAAATAACAAAATTGGTCGAAACGTTTTTGAGTTATGCGCTTACCAACACAATTTGCGATTTACTTTTATTACTTTTATACTAACTTTTGCCCGTGATTCCGTTCGCGTGTAATAATGACTTCCTGCAGATTTTTGATATAAAAACTCCTCTTTTGGTAATCCTATGTCCTTTCCTGAGTTCCAAACTATGTCTGTACCAAATTTTACACAAATTGGATCAGTAGTTTATGCGTGAAGAAAAGATAGACAGACAGAGTTACTTTCGCATTTATAATATTAAGTTTGGATTTATAGACAACATCCATGTCCTTCCAAATAGTGGAGGTATTTTACCCGTGTGAAGTCGGGGCGGGTCGCTAGTATAACATAATTAACTAATATTAAGGTACACAAAGCGCCGGCATTGTTTGAAAGATCTCTAACGAATCACAGCTAATTTGCCGTGTAGTGTAGATGAGTTTTTTTCTAATTACAAAATATTTTTTAACAAAAAAAAAAAAAACCGACTTCAAAACGTAAACTAAAAAGCAAAAAATAAATTTATTTTGTTTAAAATAATACATATTCTCATTTAGTTAAATATAAAATAATATTTAATAACTATTTTATAATCTTAAAGTCGGTGCCAAGTTCATAAATAACGGATATATCGGCGAACAAAAATAAAAAAAGAAGCATATTATTATATACGGTCGAATTGAGAACCTCCTCCTTTTTTTTGGAAGTCGGTTAAAAATAATGCTAATCTGTACAAGCCTCTAAGGAAAACATTGCATCCTAATATACTAGTTTTTTAATAAGGCGCCACTTGTTTCCAGTCGATTCTAAAATAGCTATTTACATCACATTTCGTCTTAAAATTTAAATATATATTCTATTTAATTGTCAAACTCGTCTGTACGAAAAAAACTGATGAGAATATAAAAAATGCATGAATTAATTTGTCGGTGTGTGTGTGTCTATGTATGATGGTGGAAAAGGTCATAGGATCTTGATTTTATTTGCATTGATTGCCTTGTAATGTGGGTGCAAGTTTGGAATGGTTATGGATGGGTCAGACTAAGATTTATTGAGAGTTTCGTAGTTGTTCTTGTGAATACAGATAGTAACTTGCCGTACGTTCACGTTAGACTATACAATTATTTATTAACTAGCCACATTTTTAAATGTGTGAGAGTTATGCTTCGGCACGAATGGGTCGGCTCGACCGGAGTCATACCACGGCGTTACAGAAAACCGGCGTGATAAAACCACAGCTTTGTGTTTCGCCGTGTGAGTGAGGTTACCGGAGGACAAATCCTTCCCCTACCCCCATCCTTTCCCAATCCTTAAATATCCGAAACACTTATCTCTAAAATGCCGGCAACGCACTCGTAACTGATTTGCTTACCATCATGTAATCAGTCTGCTCGTTTGCCTATAAGAAGCCATTCTCGTGCTTTCACCCGCTGCTAGGCTCCTACAGATAGTAGCCTGATGTTTTTATAACCTTTCTCGATACATGGACTAACAGACACAAAATTATTTATTGCTCAATTCGAACCAGTACTTACGGAGATTAGCGCAATCATACAACAAGACAAACAATTATTATAGATTAAAGGTTTACCAACACACTGTACACAGAAGCTTTTATACAGAGTGTTAAAAAAGGGGAGTCATATACTTTTAGCTTTAACAGCCAGCCCGTTCCGGTTACCCGTCTGTCGGCGATCGAGAGATGATCTCTAGCCATCGTAGGCGCAGGTCTGTTGACCAGTAGAGCCAATAGGCCATTATAGACGAGGCCCTATAGGGCTGATGTCCAGCCGGGTTTGCGGGGCAAGTGTGCCGTCGGCCTAGAGAAGGAGAAGGAACGGGGGGTTTTTTAGTAAGAGCCTCCTTCCCCTTCCTGAGCGGAAGGAGTCATTTGATGATTTTCCCCTCACAAATCAATTGGAGTCCGTTTGATATTGTAAAATCAAATCAAATTCTTTATTTCAAATAGACCAAAAAAAAGGCACTTTTGAACGTCAAGCAAAAAAGATATCATAAGGTTTAACTTTATGTGTCAGTCTGTCCGTCTGTCCTCTAGTGAAGCTATTTGCTCGTTCCAAAGTGTAGATTCCTATGCAGAAGAACGAGCAAGAAACTCCATGGTTACTCTTTTTCAATCACTTTTTACAATGCATTGTTACATAATTTAGATAGTTCCATTACGTCAAAAAAGACTTACCCGTGAATAAAATATGGGTCACTTATTTTCAATGAAATAAATCCAATATTATCTTCAGTTATTTATAAACATCATCAAGGGTTATCAGCAGGTTATCCGGGGCTTGTTCTCCTAGTATCCGGTAGATTTTGGAAATGCCCATTTGTCATAGCAAAGACCTGTGTTGAAGGGAGAGATGCACACTTTTTTATCATTAGCGTTTGCCCGCAACTCCGATCGCGTGGCATAGTGACTTCCTGCAGTATTTGGGAAGAAAACTATCCTATGTCCTTTCTCGAGTTCCAAACTGTGTCTTTACCAAATTTCACAGAAATCAGTTTAGTAGTTTAGGCGTGAAGAAAAGACAGACAGACAGACAGTGTTACTTTCGCATTTATAATATTAGTTTGGATTATCGTAAGTGCCCACAGCTGAGCAAAGGCTTCGTTTAGCACGGATAAGGTTTGAGCATACATGCGCTTGCTCAATGCGGATTGGCTATTTCAAGCTTAAAATAATAAAAATAGAAGTCCAGATTTCTTTAACTTTATGTAACGTCTAAATAAACGTAGGAATGATTTTTCAATGGTCACATAAATGTTGTCTGAGGAATAAAATTGTTGCTGTCACTGTCTTATGCAAACATTCTGATGCGACAGCATCATCATTATTCCCCAGGTAACTCGTTATCTAACCATTGAAAAGTCAATCCTTGGAAATTAATAACTTACCAGCACTTGTCAGGTCTCGAAGTCTTTTCGAGATTCATGGGATATCTTGAAGAAACCCGGATATAAAACAAAGTCGCATTATCTGTCCCTATATCCCTATGTATGCTTAAATCTTTCAAATCACGAATCGGATTTCAATTCGGGTTTTTTTTTTAATAGACAGATTGATTGAAGACGAAGGTTTATGTAAAAAAAAACAAATATGAAATAATGGGGAAATTTTAATTTTCTTATTCATAAAATCGCCAATCCGTCTTGAGCGAAAGCGTGTTGCTCAAAACTTTTCCGTGTAAGATTAGGTCTTTGCTTAGCAGTCGGCACTAATATTTATCCTTTGTTCATTCAAGTTTTTACGCACCCCTTTAGAGAGTAAATATTAATAAGATTCTACGTCATATTTTAATCATTCCCCTAGTAACTTGGGATAGACAGACACGTCGTTCAATTAGATAACTTGGCTCCCTGACCTTTGTCGAATATATATTCTATATCGTGATATAAAAGGTCATATAACAGGTTTTTTTTTTATAATAATTATATGTATATGCTCACTTTCACGACGGCATTACGTACGTAAGTAACATCGCGGCTTATACCTTGGTAGGGGACAACGGGAATTTGTCAAATACACAATGAATTATTTCAATAAAAATAAGCATTTTTCTAGATTTTTGGTACATTTTTGAATGGTTTTGTTTTGATGTAGATAATCGTAAGACTTCTTCCTCCCTGAATAGGGCAAGGGTTAGTATTAAACTTATTGGCAACCGCCAAGTCCCTTCTGCTCCAAACAGACTCTTACTGACAAAAATCTACACCGTTCCTTCTCCCGCTTCTAGTTGATTCTTACTGAGGTTGATTCTAACTCAACCCGTTTCTCTTTTTCCTCCGAGTAAACTCTTCTTGAATAAAATCCACCACGTGAGTCCTCCTACTCCGAACTGGGGGGGCGCTAAATCATTGCGCTTGTATCCACAACACTGGTCGGGATTATTTTAATGGCTGGATTATCTTTTACGCATTACGCATTTTATCCAATCTGCTTCAGCAATTCTGACTGTATCGTTAATCGAACAAGAATGTACGTGTAGACTTTTCCAAAAATTTACGTAAACGTTTCTACAGAAATCTACCGTTAGTGTATGCAGATGGTATTTGCCAAATATAAAATCAATTTTTGTCTTCCAATTACAGGTCTTCCTCCCGACCACACGCAACCTCAACAAAACGTTCATCCGGACAACCAAATGTACGTATATAACACACATTTAAACGTTCCAGCACTAAATTCCATAGACCTATATTCTAGATCCCAAAATTACGTTCAAAACTACACAAATATTAGAGAGAATCCACAAAATCTAGTCGTACATAGGCAGTTTGAAAACTCAAGCCCTTACCAAGAAGATTTTAAAAAGTTACGCCAAGATGGCGGCTTGAATGGCGCAAAAGAGAAATGTGAGGAGCCCAAAGAGAATTTAAAACCGACGGACGAAAATAAATTGTACTATTCCGAGTATAACCAGAATTTTACGGAAGCGAAAAATGAGAATGATTCTAGTGTCCAAAATAAGATTACTGAGGATATATCAATGAATATAAAAGGGCAATATATCTGTTATAAATGTAACGAAGTTTTTCCCTCAAAAAGGGGGTTGAAACACCATTCGAAATCGTGTTCCGAAAATGATCAATTAGTGGAAAAAGTTGGGAAATTTAGCTGTAGTCAATGCGCATATAGATGTCAATCTCCGGCGATCTTAAAGATTCATGAACGGACTCATTCCGGCGAAAAACCATTTTCTTGCACGTTCTGCGATTACAAATCTGGTCAAAAGAATAATGTGGCTAAACATATCTTAGTTCATATGAAAGAGAAACCGTTTAGATGTCAATACTGTGACTATAGATGTGCCCAGAAAAATAATTTAGTCGTTCACGAGAGGACGCACACTGGATACAAGCCATTCGCTTGTCCATTCTGCGAGTACCGAACAGTCCAAAAACCAAATTTAGTTAAACACATGTATTTGCATACGGATCAGAAACCTTTTAGTTGTGATATGTGTTCCTATAGATGTGTCCAGAAGACGAATTTAACTAAACATAAACAGAGGCACTTGAATGAGAAGGAAGGTGATAAAATGGATATTAAGAACCAAAGTAAACCGTACCGACCTCGACAGAAGTCCGTCAAATGCCCCCACTGTCCGTACCGCTGCGTACAAAAATCGAGTATGGAGAAACACCTCCAATTCAAACACGGGACTCAAGACGATTTTGAGAACGGTCTTAACCTTATGAAGAGTCCAGAGGACGCGGAAAGTATAAATTTGAGCGTGAAAAAAGATTTTGAGTGCCAACAGAAAGATAGTGTAAGTGAACCTTCATAGTTTTTAATTTTACGGAGCTTTTTATGTGCGAAAACGTGATTGTAGTAAAGTCTATTGCATTTTTTGGACATACTTTACACTTGGATTTTCTTCTATAAGGTGGTTGCTTTATTACATACACATCACACTCTGACCTACAACAACAATTTTGGATTACACAAAGAGAGAGAGAGAGTTGTTCTGTGCGGGCAGATTTTGCCCAACCACTGCGTCAACTGTGCAGTTTTTTTTTGTGATCTAAAGGATATATTTTTCAATATCGCCCCGCTTTTCGTTTGCCATAGTTTAGTTATCGAAATTTCAGGAAATGTTTATCTTAGGGCAGATTTTTCAATAGACAGATAAATGTTATCTGAGGTAAAAAATTGTTGCTGTCACTGTTTTATACAAACATTCTGACGCGACAGCAGCATAATTATTCCCCAGGTAACTTTTATCTAACCATTGAAAAATCAGCCTTAAACAATAAATTTGAGTAATCGGAATCAAGAGACAAAATAATGTCTTTGACCTTCGATACACAGAAACTATAGAGCGCCATCTACTGTTCTTCTTACAAACTATTTTAGAACACATCACATTAATACATTTGTTTATACAGATAAAGTTATTTAAAAATGCAATAGACTATACAAACAAAACATTTTTTCCATAATAAGCTCCCAGTTTGTTTTTTTTTTACACTGGAGTAATGTATATGAGTGACAGAGACAGAAGATGGACTGTACAATACTAGTTTGATGATGTTAGAAAGAGATGGAACGATTGAATAATGGTTTCTTGTTGTAAACTTTAGTCATCTGGACATATGACTTTCAGATAGTACCACTCCATCTAGTTGGAGGGCGCCAAAGCTTTTATAAAGTCTATAAGCTGTTTTTCATTGTTCTATCTCTTTCGCACACTCAAAAATATTTGCCAGTCCATTTTTTGTACTTGACATAGGTAACGATTATGAATTTAATTTCTTGTAAATATTATTATTATTGATAATTTTATAGAACTTAGAATTAATTGTTCTTTTTTTTGTGAGATTAATTTATACTCGGATTTTTACCGCGTTTTTCGCATCTGATAACACTGTAATGTTAGTTCATATTCATACAGGCGTAAAAGAGCATCGAAGCTAAAAACCCAAATCGGTTACAAATAAATTATACAAACTTAATTGCAATAATATATTTTAATAAAAATGTCCCATCTACGTTCATCCATTGATTTTACAATACATATTGTCGTATTTTGAAGTAAAATCTATGATATTTAATGCAGCATCACACAATACCTTACTTATGCCTGATTTTTCAATAGTCAGATAAATGTTATCTGAGGAATAAATACTTGCTGTCACTGTCTTATACAAACATTCTGACGCGACAGCATCATAATTATTCCCCAGGTAACTTTTACGTAACCATTGAAAAATCAGCCTTAATTTGGAAGATTAGTATTTTTTAACAATTCATATTTATATATTGAAGCTGCCAAGTTTTATTTTATGTGATAAGATGGCCAACGGGCAGCCGGATTAGGTACTTGAAGGTAAGCAATCAGCCCCTCGCATGGACACCCGCAACAACGGAGAAGTTACGGGAAAGTTGCCGTCCTTTTGGGGATAAGCATTTTAGAAAGGATGGGGCCTCCGGTAACTTTACTCACACGGCGAAACACAACGCTATGGTTGTTCCACGCCGATTTTCTCCGAGGCCGTGAATTGTAACACTGCGGTTCACCCGCTCACTCTGAACCGATCCATTCGTGCCGAAGCTTGGCTCTCCCAAAACTAAAAAAATAAATAAATTCTTTTTGCCTATTTAATATCTCATGCGAAATACATAGAAAAGTTTTTTATATTTCGATAAAGATATTGAATTTGATTTGATTAGTTGTCGGATTCAGTATTGTCAAAAAACAACAACAAAATGTGGGGAAACCCGAGTAAGAAACTCCATCATTACTCTTATGACAAACGTATTTCAGGAATGGCCCTTACTGCCTAAATAATAAAGGTTATCATTGTCAAATGTTGACGCAAGAGGATGTCTAGCAGGGCTTGTCCGAAGATAAAAAAATAAAATAAAATACATTTATTTTCGTTCAATAAATATTGTTTATAGTGATAACAATATCACTTGGATTATAAACTAGCGGTTTTCCCCAGCTTTGGTTTTCTGCTATTTTCCAATATACCGGCGAATGTACGAATTTTCTTCTCTATACTAAACCGTTTTGTACTATCTACTAATTCGCAACATACATAGTGACAGGCAATGGTCATCAATGATATTATATATTAACAGATATGCAAAAGTAAAGACTCGAAAAGGATACAATTGTATGCAAGTCAATGATACTAGGCCAGAATAATGTTTGTTTACGTTGATAACAATAGGTAATTCGTTTTTTCTTGATCGATTTATCATACTATCCTTTTTCTACAATTTTAACTTGTAGTGACATGTAAAATTAATGAAAGGTATGTGAGTGTGCTCACGCTTGGCGCGGAACACATTTTTCGTGCGTTTTGTGAGGGTATAACATATCTGTGTTAATATAATATCATTGGTGACAGGTAATTAGTGACCGTTATTTAAATACGTGATTGTACTCATTATAACAAACAATTTTACCAAAGAAACTGTTTTTCTATACTTAATAGTTTTATTTTTATTACTACTTATAACTAAGTTCGCGCGCCCGCCGTGCGTCGCCCGATCAGCTGTTAGCGGCGAGGCCCCCGCGACCGCGTCTGAACTTTACACAGCAATTTTTGTTAAAGTAATAAAAATAAAACTATTAAGTATAGAAAATAAGTTTCTTTGGAAAAGTTGTTTGTTATCATGAGTCCAATCAAGTGTTTGTATAAGTAACCATCACTAGGTATTTAAGTAGTTTACCTACGTCAAAAATAAATTAATTCGACGTTTTAATACAATAAAATATTGAAAAATAACTATACTTCATCGATCGATCGATAGACTTAGTTTTTTTTTTAGCTGATTATTAAGAAATTAGTAAGCTATTTGACGCAAAAATGTTATGACGTCATAACTCAGTTTTTCATACAAATTTCTTAGAAAAGTATCGCTTTTGACGTTTGGATAAAAGTATTGAATTGGACTAGTTGGAAACTACCGTATTACCAGTCATCCTATATGTGTAACGTCATAATACTTTAACATCAAATAGCATAAGAACTTATCTGAGAATATATACGGAAAAACACTTAGAATTAAGAATTAGTTTCGCCAAATCAATGAATGAAAGTACGATTATATTTTAATAATTTATTGTATTGAAAAAGTCTAACTCATTTACTATGGTCTTAGTTTTTTTTGTTTAACAAAATGTAAACAATCTTGACATGTTTTTTTTTATCTAAAAATTGTATGTAAAAAGGTTTACAATCAGCTATTTACCTAAATCGAAGTTAGCTAATGAACTAAATTTAAATAATGTTTGCATGTATTTTATATACGAGCTCTTTAATGTTAAAAGACATACCAACATTGTTTACCTTTAGTTAACTGCCTAAACCCATATACCATAGTAACCACCAATTAGGGTTTTGTCAGTAATTCAGGCAGTACTCCAATAAATTACCTACGGTATAAGTATATAATAAATTTCTCTATTAATTTAGAACCTTAACTATCTCTGTACCTAACCACTCTTGATTTCCTTACCTGCATATTAAATTACTGAACGATAATTGGTAAAATCCGAGTATTTAAGAAGTCATATTGTCAACTAGAGGATTCAAAATAAGTACTATAGGTATCATATTATTTCTAGTTATTCTAGTTTCTAATTATAAGTTTGAAATCGCCAACCCGCATTGAGCAAGCGTGGTGATTAATGCTCAAACCTTCTTCGTGTGAGAAGAGGCCTTTACTCAGCAGTGGGCACTTATAGGCTGATGATGATGATGATGATGATGATTATTAGTCAGATTTGTGTGAGTTTGATTCGAAAACTTGTCAATTTTGAAAGCTTTTGTTTTTCTTCGTTTCGGTGGATTTTACTAAGACATTTTTATTGTAATAGTCAAAATCATTTATTTTAATTAGACCCTTACAGGCACTTTTGAACGTCAAACAAAACTTAAAGATAAAAAGTGTCAGTCTGTCTATCTAATGATACAACAGTTAGAAATGACATCATCATCAGCCTATAAGTGGCCACTGCTAAGCAAAGGCCTCTTCTCACACGGAGAAGATTTGAGCATTAATCACCAAGCTTGCTCAAGGCGGATTGGCGATTTCAAACTTGTAATTAGAAAAAGTTCAGGTTCCCTCACGATGTTTTCTTTCACCGTATATCAGTGGTGTCTAAATAATCATAGAAAGTACCTACATAAAACTGGGTAAAAGTCACATTGGTACTTGCTAGATTCCGAACCCACCCTCATGCATGAGAAGCAGGCGCCTTAATCTCCAGATCATCACGATGACACAACTAGAAATGTGTGTACATAATTCAGATTCTTAGATTTTGTCACTCAGTTCGCCTTTATAAAAGTGTGGTACCTTATAGAATCAATGTTTCGTTTTCTCTAGTTGACAATGATTGTGAGTCATTTTTTTTATATAACTATAAGTTTTTAGATGTCAATTGTGTACAGTTAATTATAATGTAAATGAAACATGTCAGAGTTGTTGAAAAGACTGAAAAACAATATTTTTTTTATATATTTGTTGATTTGCTCCAGTTCCATAAAAATATGGGTATATTATATAAATACTTCGCATATCTACGGTTGCAAAGGTAAATAAATTGGTCGTTTGGTAAAAAAAATGTTGCCTAACTATCGCGCAACTGTCGGTCGACTTTTCACCAACTTTGACGTGTTTCAATGATAATAATTTTGTGATATAGCTTATGATTATGATAATTAATTATGAATAATTGTGCTCTCTTATAAATAATTGTTCCTGTGTAAATAAATAATTTGCAAATTGATTCATTGTAAAGGGGAACATATTTGGCAATTATATTTTTCAGAAAATAGTTTCGACTGATTCAATGAAGATGATGTAATCATTTGTCGGCTTCTAACTTCCAATGGTTATAAAAGACTTGGATTATGTGTCTTAGCAGTTCTGTCTGTACTTATAACATAAGGCTCAATTTACACCGAAACGCGACGC